CATGTCATACCATACCAATTTTTGCAATTTTCCATGTGAACAAAACCACCGCAAGAGCAGCAAGACCATGAAATGTAAATGATGGCATTCATGACATACATGTCATGATTTTCATGTTATTACTAGTCACTTATGCTCGTCATACAGCCATGTCATACCAATTTTGGCATTGATATCGTTATCGAAACGGCCAGGAGAGCTAAAAGTCGTAGGTGGCTAGATAGATAGATAGATAGATAGATAGATAGATAGATAGATAGACAGATAGATAGATAGATAGATAGATAGACATACGCTCAAAGTCGCCGAAACTCCCTAAGAAATGCTTCGCATTTAATAATGAATGCAATATACGACACTTCTAGTGCAAGCAACAAAACGCATACCACGCCTAACGGTACAACGAGGCTGTTTTTTGTTTTCCTTAAGGCACATGCACCTCTGCAGTACTGAACAAATGAAGTCCACCTTTGTTTTTGTGGTGGAAACAATGTCGACATCATGGCGCGACGCCAACTTTTTAAATGAGCACGAGATGAGAGTGGTCTGTTGATTGCCTACACATTTCACCTTTATAGCAAGCTCTGCTACTGATTTGGCGGCCTTTAGACATTTGAAGCCAGCATAAGTGATGACAGCTTCTGGGTACTCAGTTTTTCGAACCTTGGCCACTTGCCCATCCACACTCTGTACCATCAAATTTTGGCCCGATTTTTCTTATTGCCGAGTAAATTCAAGAAGAAGCAATGGCTTGTTTAGTAAATTTAGAATGGCAGGCACTGAATCCTAGAACGGCTTTTACAGAGCAAAGCCTGCATTGCGGACATACACACGAATCCCGTAAGGTGCTGGTATAGAAACTAAGATGCATTGTCTTTTGGTGTCTCAAACGAGAAACACAAAATCAAACCAAGCTCATTAAACACCTTAACCACTTCAGCTACTTTGTGGTCGAAATTCGGTGCTTGTGATCGATCAAAAGACGGTATATGTTATGCATTTGCTTTTGAATGTTAGTTATTTGCTGTCCGTCTCGGTGAAACAGTGCCATATGGTGTTCGGCTGCTGACCCGAAGGTCGCAAGTTCAATCCCGGCCACATGGTTGATGACCGGTCTGTGTGATGTCAGATGGTGAACATTTCCGGAGCCCTCCACTACGGCGTCTCTCATAATCATGTCGTGGTTTCGGGATATAAAATATAAAACGCTGAACATTACTATTAGTTGTTATCAAAACTATATATATATATTATATATATATATATATATATATATATATATATATATATATATATATATATATATATATTATATATATATACTATATATATATATATATATATATATATATATATATATATAGATATATATATATATATATATATATATATATATATATATATTATATATATATATATATATAGTATATATATATATATATATATAATATATAGTATATATATATATATATATATATATTACTCACCCGGGCTCATTCAGACTCACAGTTCGACCTGAGTCTGAGTCCAAGTGAGTCGACTCATGAACCCGGTAGCCTAGAATGAGTTTTCTCGAGCGTGGTGTCAATACTCTTTGACAACAATATCTCACGTAATTGGTGCTCTTATTGGTGCCGTTTGACCTAGTATCTTCTAATACGACTTTTGAGTGCTTCCAAACTAGTAAGGTCATTTTTTTGGAAGAGATGATAGCATAGGACATAATAATCAAAACATTCCCTGGAAGAGTTGGTGGGGGGAAGTTAAGGCAACACCTACCTAATTCACGCGTATAATTAATAAATATATTTATTAACTATACACGTGAATTAGGTAGGTGTTGCCTTAACTTCCCCCCACCAACTCTTCCAGGGAATGTTTTGATTGAAACAGTGTATGAACGACGCTGCTTTAGAATACGTGTGAGTATATGTGAGTTTAAACGGGAGTATAGATAAGGTTGATAGCAATGTTAAGGATGACTAGTTAGGACCGTAAGTTGGCAAAAGAAAGCGGAACACACTCAGACTCACTCTAGAAATATATTTTGCGCTTCGGACTGACTCTGACTCATACCCACCAAAATTTTCTTGAGCCGAAATGATTCAGACTCGCATGACATGACAAGAACTATACTTAGGTCCTGGGGGACAGATATTTAGGGGAGCCCTAAGCCTCCCGCCATATCAAGTCGGTGGCTCCGCCCGCGATGGGACCAGAAGACGAAGAACCATCGCGATGTCGTGGGCCTTCTGGGCGGCATTGAGTTGTGTATGAAGGCTGCTGCTTTTCAGAGATGCATCCCATTGCTCTTTCGTCATGGGCGGAGAGGTGTTAAAGGCTGGGAAGAGCCAGAGCATGTGATTAAAAGAACGCGAGTCGTGGCCACATTTGGGGCATGGCTGCGAATGGTCGGCGTCTATGCGGCTAAGGGATCGAGGAGTAAGATATGAACAGATTGGGAGTAGTCTGAATGTGCTTACCTGAGGCTTGGTCAAATTGGGGTGAGGCTCTGGAAATTTTTTTTCTGGCCAGACGGTAGTGGGAAGCAATTTCGTGAAAAGTAGACAAAGTATTTTTATAAATGTCGACTTCGTTACGAGCATGGTTATTCGCGACAGCACGGCACGTGAAATCGCGCGCTATCCGGTGAGCCTGCTCGTTAGGGTTACATTCGAGCGGGTTAACTGAACCATCTAGATAGGCTGGAAACCACGCGATTTGGTACCCTCCTTCGCTGCACTCCCGAGTTTGCTGAAGTGCTTTCGCCACAGTACTGTTCACCTGTTCAGACACAAGGGCGTTCGAGGAAGATCTGACTCCCGTACGCGAATCCGAGAAGACAACAGCGAGGACTTTTGCGCTGTGAAAAGCCAGAGTGCATTATCGCAGCTTCCTCTGCCACATGGGCAATTTTTGAATAAACAGAGGCTGCATTGACTAGGTTACCTTCCGCGACCGAAATAGCGACCTTATCCCCACCGTGATATCTGGCAGCATCGACAAAGAGGGCTTATAGTTTGTGCTGATTAATCTTTTTATGGCCTTAACTCTCACGACTCTTCTACTCCCGCTATGCACTGGGTGGATGTTACGTGGGACGGGGTCAACTATGATTTGAGTGCGGATTTCCCTGGACAAGCGAACTTTCGTCATTTGTTGATGTCAAGGCTGAATACCCGCATCTTTATCTACGGCTTAGTAGATGAAAGTCTCGTAATTCGAACAGCTGTGCGAGCTTCTATTAGCTGGCCGATAGTGTTGTGCAGTCATATCTCCAATAGCTTCTCTGTGCTGGTGGACTGTGGAAGGCCGATCACGCGCCTGAGGTCTGTTCTCATTAGAGAATCGACTTTGGCCTTCTCCGCTTCAGCCCAATTAAGGTATGGCGCGATGTAAATAACATGGCTTAGAAAGAATGACTAATAAGCTCTGATCAAATTGTTCCCTTTGAGGTCACCTCTCCGGTTTGAAACACGGGCTACAAGTTTCAGTACATTACTCGCCTGCCCCGTGAGCCTGTTGAGCGCCTTCGAGTTACAACCACTGGCACCAATGCGGAGACCTAGAATATATAGAATCCCTCCACGCTATGGGCTGTCCATTTTTAGCTCGAATTTCTATCGGCAGTTTTCAGAGGCGCAAGGTTACGAACACCTTGTCTAGATGGTCGGTATAACAGTAGCTCCGATTTATCAGGGGGGAGTTCAAGGCCCGTGTTTGAAAGAAAGTATTCCGTAGCCTTCAACGCGCTTTGTAAGGAGTGTTCGAGCTCTGCCAGAGAGCCATACGGTGTCCAGATCGGGATGTCATCCACATAAATGGCGCGTGACCTACCTAAGAAGAGAAAAGTGAGCCCCGAAACTGTCTGCATCTTAGTGCGACACATCAGCAGTAGCTCACGAGGGAAGTGGATAAGGAGGGGTTAAAAGGATGGAGTGAGAAATAAAGATTAAGAAAGAGAAGGATTGACACACGGTCGAAGGAGTCCGAGGATGGGGCACCACACAGCGATAGCTTCGCGGCGTCAGAAGATCGCGGAGGGCGAACCAGTCGGCGACAGCTATGCTGGCGTCGGAAGTCGTGGGCGGCATAACCGTTCGGCACGGAACCAGCATGCGAGTCACTGTCAATCAGCGCTGCTGGTGCCCATCTCGGAGAAAATAGCGTGTTTTCAGCATTACCAGTTAGATGGCACCATGAGCGCGCTCGGCGTAAAGCACGGCGCCCAGCTCGTCGCGATGCGCCGATGCGCGCTCATCTCCCACGTGTGCTTTTCTCCACGGAGGGAAGAAGGCTTATCCACGCACTTAACCTGTGGTGGGGGAGAATCGCGCGCCTTCGTCTTTCACCCGGCACGATTGCGCTCATTTGCCGGATGCACAAAAATCACTGCGCTCTCAGGACAGACTCCATTTGCGAAAGGAAAGCGCTTTTCAAACACAGCGAAGTAACAGCTGGGGCACTTGTTAGTTCGCACTCATGAGTGTGATTACGTTTCGTGCGTCGTTTTTGTTTAAACAGCATGTTAAGTGTCAAGCCGAAAACGTTGTTAGTTCACTTTCGTCCTGTGTGTGTTGGTTTCTTGCATCATTTGTGCGTGAAAAGCGCGCCGCACGTTTCGATCTGCTTTCCGTTCTCAGCGTTACATTCCAAGTTGTTGGTATCGCATTCATTGCTTCGCCCTTGCGGCGAAACCATGACCTTTCTCTTTCTTTCTTTCTTTCTTTCTTTCTTTCTTTCTTTCTTTCTTTCTTTCTTTCTTTCTTTCTTTCTTTCTTTCTTTCTTTCTTTCTTTCTTTCTTTCCTTCTTTATTTCCTTCTTTCTTTCTTTCTTTCTTTCTTTCTTTATAAAAGAGCCTACGAAACTCTTATATGTAAGATAAAAAAGAAAAACGAAAGAGACAAGCATGCACGTGAATAGGCGTTCTCTGCGTTCACTACGAAGGACGCATGATTGCAACTGAATCAGCACTTGCAAATCGTAGCTTTCACTCGTGGCAGGGCTTCTGGCACCCTCGCTAGCACTCGGCAAACCTCGCGTGCAAAGACGAACGAGTGCGTCAACAGACTGTGGTGCAACCTTCACTGAATGACGCCGGCGCCCATAAACACTGAAGTATAGAGGCGCCGAAGCCTTTGTGGCTGTACTCGAATGCTGGCGTATCGCGGTGGGCGTCGATAAGGCCCTCGGGCCGCTTTCGACGACGCCGCTTCTTGAGCTCAGAATTGCACCAGTGACTGCACGAAAAGAAGTACACAACGACTCTATATAGAGCACCGAAGGTGAGTCCCGATTGCGTTGCAGTCCTGCTATAATTAAAACTACAATTAAAAGGTTCAATTTATGCAGCAGTGTATTTTTTGTCGTGTGTAACAAACCATACTAATGCATTGACTCGGTTTAATTTTGTCCATACTTGAATTAGGCAAATTTCTGGGTACGATATAAGTCACGCGTTATACAGTGGAGGTCTCCAATTAAATACGGACAAGGGCGTTTTGTTTAACGTGCATCCTAAATCAAAGAACACACATGTTTGCCTTTACCGAAATGATTTATCGGCACATCCATTTTTTTCCCTTCGTGAAAATGTGAAATGAGGACTGGATAATTCGACATCGCTATTCAACGCAGGGCAACAAGTTACTCCCATCCCAAGTATAATTCAAAATACGAGGTCAGAGCGTGAAAAAACGCGATCCATAATTAAGGGTACACTCAAATTGCTTTCAAGGAAGATAAACGTTAAACACATTAACTTCCGATTATCAGTTCGTTTGATGTACAACTTACTTGTTGCGTGTAATGTCAGACTCATGTCCACATCGCGAGTTACCTTTGCTTGTTACACAAAATGACTTCGGTCTACAGTACCACATCACTCACAACTTTATCGTTCTGAATTGTCATTTACACTTGTAGATTTTCTCCTCATACTTCTCCCACTCATCCGGCAGAACTAGAAGAAAGGCAGATGGCTCGAAGAGAATTGAAAAAAAAAAGAAACTTATTTGAGCTATATGCCGAAATAAACACTTGGAGCTTCACGCGTGCTTTAATAGGCAGAGTAAAATGTGAATGTGTATTCACAACAGTAACATCGTGACATTGAGCACTTCGTTGCATGTTGTAATATTACAGGACCGTGATGTAGGGTGGGATAGCCTCGAATGCAGATGATAACATGATGAACTGCAGCAGGTGGGGCGTATCAAGCACACTTTCATGAGAGCTGAATTGCTGGCATGCTTCTTGGGGGGGGGGGGGGGGGGCATCACCTGATATTATCTGCACACACCACATTTATGCTTTTGTGCCCCGTTGTCATTTATATATGCTTAAAATGCATACCATACTGAGTTGCTCGTGCTTCTTTAAAACTGATAGGGCTGCAGCATAGTTGTGGTCCAGTGTTGTTGCCGAGTTGGCATGTACTATAGGGACTGGCAAGTGACTCACTTATTTTCACTGGTTCACAGGAACGCGTGCTTCATAGCCATGGATACGGCACCTTCAAATCGCGATAGAGGCAAACACAAGATAACAACGCCGGAAGCCCAAGCCTACGTCCTTGAGCACTGCACCTTGCACCCCGTCCTCGAGAAACTGATAGCTGTAAGTATGAACAAGTCTTGTTTCATCCCCGTTGTATAGTCGGCTGTCAAATTTTCGCTACTCAAATAGTGTGGCATTGTGCTTTCAATACCATACCACGTTTCTTCCTCGTCGCCTCACTTGCCTGCCAAGCAAGTGATTTCACTTTGCGTAGCGGGCTTTAGAATGCGCTTACGGCGGCTACAGGGACTTGCTGCACAGTACGCAGAGCCCTTATTAGCGGCAGGTCATGCTCTGTTCAAACAAAACGCAATGGGACGATCGGTGCCGTAGCGCAGAGAGGCATGTAGGGACGTGTGAAAAAAAGCTGGCTTGTTTGCGATCCTACAAAATTTGAGGAGTTTAAATCTTGAATGTGTACAGATGTCATGGTAACAAGTTTTTTTTCTTTAGGGGCGAAACTCCTTATGGCGTGGGTCTGTCACTCCTCCTTCTCCTCCGTATGTATGTATGTATGTATGTATGTATGTATGTATGTATGTATGTATGTATGTATGTATGTATGTATGTATGTATGTATGTATGTATGTATGTATGTATGTATGTATGTATGTATGTATGTATGTATGTATGTATGTATGTATGTATGTATGTATGTATGTATGTATGTATGTATGTATGTATGTATGTATGTATGTATGTATGTATGTATGTATGTATGTATGTATGTAGCCACCGGTGGCACATACCGGCCCTAGAGCGGGTATGTGCCTCAGAGGATGCGAGATTGGAGATGGCGGTACTTGGAGGGTTCACTAGAGGGACGCATAGACGGACGGACAGACAGACTAGCAGATGGACGGACGGATAGATAGACCCCCGGACGTACGAGCGGATGGACGCATGAATGGACGGACTCACTGACGGACGCATGGAAAGACAGGAGGCATGGATGGACGCATGGATGGTCACGCGGACGGACGGAAGCTAGAACGAACAGACGGACGGAAGCACGGACGGGCTGACGGGTGCTTCGCCCCACTCATCATCATTCACTCCGTGGATATGCTGTGATTTTTTTTATTTTGTCTGCATTTCATGCAGACAAAATAAAAAACCCAAATTGAAATGCGGCTGTCATTACTGTACCCACACTTGAAGGGTTTAGTGTAATCAAGGGTACAAAGGGAGTTTTGCAACATGCTCTCTGCTTGGTAGTATACATTGTATCACCACATGGCGTAGCAGAGATAATCAACCCATGCCACATTTATACACCCTTTCAAGTACAACCTTGCTTTATACGTCACTGGAGGTGGGGGGGGGGGGGGAGGCGAGAGGCAACAGTGCTTAATTTTAAATGCGAAGCATGTCTTAGCGAACTTCGGTGACTTTTAGCTACTATCTATCTATCTATCTATCTATCTATCTATCTATCCTATCTTATCTATCTATCTATCTATCTATCTATCTATCATCTATCTATCTATCTATCTATCTATCTATCTATCTATCTATCTATCTATCTATCTATCTATCTATCTATCTATCTATCTATCTATCTATCTATCTATCTATCTATCTATCTATCTATCTATCTATCTATCTATCTATCTGTGACTTTTATCTCTCCTGGCCGTTTCAATAATGGTATCGATACCAAACTTGGTATGGCATAACATGACAGTATGAAGAACATGTTTGACTAGTTATACCATGAAAACCCTGACATGTTTGTCATGAATGTCATGATTTACATTTCATGGTCCTGCAGCTCATGCGGTGGTTTCGTTCACATGCATGTTGCAAAACTGGTATGGTATATCATGATTGCATGACGAACACAAGCGACAGACCTTAACATGAAAACCATGACATGCGTGTCACGTAACAACATGACTACATGCCACGCTCATGATGCGCTCGCGGCCGTTTCGCTAGCGTCACATAAACCAAATTTGGTATTACTGTACGTGAATGGATGACGAAGGTATGATACTGGTGCACACATGATAAATATGAGATGCGTGTCATGTAACAACATGACTACAAGCTACGCTCATAATGCGCTCGTGGTCGTTTCGCTAGCTTCACATGTACCAAATTCGGTATTACGCAACGTGAACAGACCAGATAGGTAAATGACACAACCAAACATGATAATCACGACATGCGTGTTATGTCACAACATGACTACATACCACACTGATGATGCGCTCGCAACTATTTCGCTGGCTTCACACATTCCAAATTTGGTATTATATGACACCAATGGATGACGAAGGTATGTGGCTGGTGCAAACATGATAATCATGAGATGCGTGTCATGTGAGAACATGACTACATGCCACAGTCAAGGTGCCAATACATTTCGACGTGACGCGGTGCGCGTGCTCGCCGGCGTCCATTTCGTCACGTCACGCCGGCGCTGCCACGCTAGGCGCCGGTCCTGCCATACACTCACAGGCGCGCGCCGCGCTGCGTTGCTTTGATGCATGCGCGTTTCAGCGCGTCCGGCGTCCCTCCGTCACGAAAATAGGGAGACGCAGTGTTGTCTGGGTAACGCATCGTCGCGAAATGCAGCAGGTCGCATTTTGAACCGGTTGCCGTCGGGCCGCGCCGACGGACGCTGGTAGCGCTGGTCACGCCTGACGTCAGACTATGGAGTGCATGCGTTGTGCTAACGTAGCGTCGCTGTGTCCAGCATTCACGCGCGTCAGCGGTACATTTGAGTATATTGGGCCCATCATGATGCACTCGCGGCCATTTTGCTAGCTCCACATATACAAAATTTGGTGCTACGTGACGTCAATGGATGACGAAAGTATATGACTGGTGCAAACATGATAATCCCGACACGCGTGTCATGTAAGAATATGAAAACATACCACGCTTATAGCGTGCTCGCGGCCGTTTTGTTAGCTCCACTTTTACTAAATTTGGTATCGCGTGACTTGAATAGATGATGAAGGTAAACGACATATCCAAGCGTGATAATCATGACACGGATGTTATGGCATTATATACCTCCACCTCGTAACGTGGTGGTGATTTTAAAGTGATATATCAAATTTTGCCCCGCCGTGGTGGTCTAGTGGCTAAGGTACTCGGCTGCTGACCCGCAGGTGGCTGGTTAGAATCCCGGCTGCGGCGGCTGCATTTCCTATGGACGCGGAAATGTTGTAGGCCCGTGTGCTCAGATTTGGGTGCACGTTAAAGAACCCCAGGTGATCAAAATTTCCGGAGCCCTCCACTACGGCGTCTCTCATAATCATATGGTAGTTTTGGGACGTTAAACCCTACATACCAATACCATATACCAAATTTTCTCCTTCGTGCTTCGCCTATCATCGATTCCCACTGTACGTGGGAGCTGACAATTTTTTATACACATATCTCCCTTCCCCCTTACTCATTATTTATTCGCTCTATCCCCTTTTCGCTTCGATTTAAAACTTGTACAATAACTAAGCAGGTTACAGGCGCACAAATAATACTTCGATGGGCAATTTTTTTCTCGATGCATATGAATATTGGTTGTAGCACAGGTAGAGACATATGTCGCTTGATTTGTACTAGGCGTTTCGTGCGGAACAGCTCGACGTGAGATATGATCATCTGCACCTGGCGGACGCCTCATTGACTCCTCGCGCTGGCTAGATGGGCCTAATTTACGTTCACGACACAGATCTTTAGTTTTTACTGAAGTTTCAGATGCTGCTATGTTTAGGCACAACTGCTCATTCGAGTGATAGTCACAGTCATTTGCACAATGTTGTTTTCCTTGAATTGCGCGCGCATACCTTTTGCGATTTCTCACCAAGCGAATAAAAGGACTTACATGTCGTAAAGATTGTTGCGCACACTAAGCAGCCGTGATGCAAGCACTCCATCCTGGGATCATGAATTGACGCGGCAGCTGCGAGGTCAGGAAACAGGAGTCTTTTTGTAGTTCGTGCAAACTAAAAAAAACATGAATTCCGGAATCGCATCACGTCACGCATCAACACATTCAAAAGATCCTCTCTCTTCCTAATATATTTCTCAACAATTCCCCTCTCTTCCTTATCTTCAAGCCTCTCTCGCCATTCGCGGGGGCAGAGTGGCATGTTGTAAATTACAACAGTTGAACTGCACCTCCCATTGAACAGAAGGATAATCGCGAGTTAGGAAAGTTGGTGGATGTTAATCGTAGACTATTTTACAGCGAAACGGGTTAGGTACCGGCAGCGCTGGGCCCCTTTCCTGTCCGTATCTGAGCAAGTAAAGTGGACGACCCTTCACACGGACGCATGCAAATGAAATTATCAGCCTTGCTTTAATAAAATACGCGTATGTATTGTCTTTTGATATAATAGGAGCGAATTAAAAAAATCAGAACAACACATGTTTGCAGTTATTCTGTCATATATATTTTTTACATCATCCGTGCATACAGTGATGAGCGTGAAAAAAAAATATTGAGTTCATCATTTTTAGTCGTGAATGTCGTCGCAGAGATGCTTGCCTGAGTTTTTATAGCGATCGTGGCATCGCACACATTGATAGGTTCAGGCCATAGAATTTCGTACTATACTCTAGAGGGAACTCTGGCGCTAGTGTCTATGGGAGCTGCAACGCGCGGCGCTTCAGCGAGCATGGGAATGATGGGTAGTACACACATTTGTCTGATTTTCGTACTTATGGCCTGCTTCTGACTCCGTATGTGTTCGTGTGGCTTAGAGCCGTTTCTTCACAAAAAATAAATGAGCAAATCTTCAGCGTTTGCCCTTCACAACCTTATTATTTTAGGCTTATCATTTTGAATCGAGTCACAAAGTTCAAAAAGGTTCGTTCTTTCCTTCAAAACAAAACCATAACCAGCAACAAACGAAGCCGCAAGTACGATTTGCCACCCGCAAGTACGAAGACTAGGCAAATGTGTGTACTAACCATCATTCCCATGGTCACCGAACGATCGCAGCGCCACAGTCTCCTCTAGTCAATTTCAGGAAACTCTATGGTTCAGGCTACTCGTGGGGTGTGGGATAAAGCGTACTGTGCTCAGTTTCTGTGTTTGCACGACTCCGTTACTCACTGACTCTTGTGATGCCATGATTCTGCTTCAGACTGTCTTTTTTGTGTTTTTTTGTAAAAAAAAAACAACGTGAAGGAAACTGTGAAGCTGCCTCGTGGACGTATGTACACCAAGCCAGCGCAGCTGACACTATACCAAGTCCTGCTGAAGGCCATATGTGCCAAGAAGTACCTGGAAGTGGGTAAGTAGACGTGATCGGGACATCAATTGACGTGTCGGAGGCTGCTTTAGTGATTTTTGCAACAAAAAAAAAAAAAACACACTCTCCCTGCATGTTGCACAGCTATTTTCCACATGACGCCCATCTACGCAAAAAAGTGTTGCGGCCCAGCAAAGCTCGTATAGGTTACTCATAAGTGCAATTTTCGTCGTTTTTTTCCTTGATTCTGTTTTTTTATGCTTTATTTATGGTGAATTTTATGTACCCCCCCCCCCCCCCTGTTCCATGCTCTTCAGGGCCTGTAGGGTATTATGAATAAATAAATAAATCTTGCTGTGTAAGGGGGGGGGGGGTTGAACATTCTGTGGTCGGCAGCTAAGAACAAATAGAAGCTCCGCCCTCGGAGTCTGACGTTCATGTGTGCAAGAGAGTCGTGTTTGGTGGTTTCCATGCACACCTTAAGTACTTTTCGGCTAGTGCTAATGTAAGTACTACGCATACTGAGTAATAAAAGCTTGTCGTCCATACTATATGTATTGCATATAGGCAAAACAGAGACATCGGAATCTCTGTACAAAAGTGGCAGGAAGTTTTCATTTGAAAACCAGAGACATAAGATTATGTAACTGCGCAAAAAAAAAAAAAAAACGGTAAGGTGGGCGAGTTTCACCAGCTCGCCCACCTTACCACTCTTCTACTAGCATGCGTCGGTACAGGAAAATCATCTACGCGAAATACGCGAAAAGTGCTTGACGTCATTGGAAGTGAGCAAATGCGGTTGGGTATAGGAAATACATGCAAATTGTACATTTGTTAGTTGTAGCCCGTTATAGAACCGTGCGCGTATCTTTCGAATGCACCTATGAAATGGGCTTGGTCAACGGCAAGGAGCGCCGAATGACCGGACAGCACGAACGCGTTTCCTGCCTCGTGTGCGCTCCAGACTGGTCGAGGTCGACACCCAACCACCGCAGAAATAGTTTGTTCGTAATGTCGAATTCTAGCCAACATCAGGATGATTGTCGCATCCCCACGAAAAAGCCCGCAGAGATTAAATTCAGGCTATATTGACTTTCATCGCTAGAATGCATTGTGCTAAAATTGGGCGCTTATTCACTTTTCTCTACTGAGTTTCACACGAATGAAAATGGCATTTTTTCTTATCAATTAAGCGTATTTTGTATAAGTTGAAAGGAATTAGTATAGACCAGGTACTGAGCTTGTATACTGAGCTTCAATTGAAGCAGTGTACGGGACTTGATATTCGGCCTCTATTGTGTTAAGTCAAAAGCACCTGGTACGCAAGCGTGTTACGCAATCGTCAAAAATGGTGGCTAGGTTTTTGCGCGCGTAGACACAGGCTATTTACGACTCTTCTTTAACATGGCTGCTCAAATAGTGTGTTTTAGAAGCGTTACTCAATTATTAAACATTTCTAAAGTCTTACGGCTTAAATATTTTTTTTAATTAAGAAAAGATTTTTCTTGAATCCCGAATCGCAGCTTCCTGCCACTTTTTGATATCAACAGCAGCCCTCAAGTTAACAATTAAAAAGTAAATAATTCTGTTCATTATTCATAGTATTGTAACATTAGGAGTGAAACGTATTTGCACCTCAACCTAGAGCTCATGACAGGTGAAAGTCAACATTTTTTTAACAGAAAAATTGTATTATCTAAAAAGAAGGGGAAGAAAAAAAAAGAGACGCCATGCATGTGTCCAATTCCTCAGGGTATGTATGTGTCGTTTAGTATGAAGGCTCAAACAAACTGTATGTGGGCACCTACTCGGAAGTGGATCGGAGTGTCCGTGTTTCTGCTACATTTCTCATAGTCCAAAGCTCTGTATATGCTGAACGCGATCATGTTCATGTCGGCGCAGGTGTGTTCACTGGCTGCAGCGCGCTGTCGGCCGCCCTGGCGCTTCCTCCAGACGGTCTCGTACGGGGCCTCGACATCAACCAAGAGACCGCCAACATCGGCAGGCCCTTCTGGAAAGAGGTGCGAGTCACGGAAATTGCGCTTCTCGATCACGTGACCCGCCGAGTAAGAAGGAACAACAATATGGGACACAGTGATCGGCGTCCCTGCTATGTACGCCTAGATTTGTCAGTCGTGTAGTTGGCCCAATAACAGAGGTATCTTTGGCACTGTAAATGTGCCAGGCGCTCTCCACATCGAGACAGTCACAGGGCCTTTTGAGCCTAATTAAGCGGTGCAGTTCGCGGAGCTTGCAAACGTTCGGCTTCTTTACATACATGAAGTGTCCGAAGCTGCAGAGTGTGACGCACATTAGTCGGCAAAATAAGGGATTTCTCCCCGCTTCTAGCGGCTGGCTCACACGATACACTAGATCGTATATATAGAATGACGGTGCAGTTTGCTTCTCCTATAGCATGATATATGACGATTGTTCGGCAATGTCAGGGTAAGAAAGTGATTGTAGTACTATCTTTCTTTTTTTAATGCATCGGGAAGAATATGTCACCTAATGACTTCCCAGCTAACCTTGAGAAGTACTGGAGGCAATGTGCAATATGATTTACTCTATACGTGAACTATACAGGACGACCTACAAGCGAACGCCTTGACACACACTTGCGCGTTGTAGCTCTCACTGTGCGCGATATCACAGTGCACTGTGCTATGCCGGGATGCTGCCATAATCAACTCCGTGGTAGCCTTGGATCACAGCCTTCCTTTAACCAGCTCGCGTCTGCGACGAAACGGCTTGTGTAAAGCGTCTTTTTTTTTCCCATTTTGTCGCAGGCTGGAGTCGAGAAAAAGATTGACATTCGCATTGGCAAAGCTGTCGACACTTTAGGTGAGACCTAAGTGTACGGTAGTACACGTCTCTTTCTGAAACCAAGAACTGTACACGTGTACAAGTGGAAAATATGTGACGACGGGGGAACGGGAGTAAGTTACTTGTTTTCTTGTCAAAAACGTGGTCTTTGCATTAGAACTTTGCCGTTTGAGTATTTCTCTCGCCGGACTGCAGTTTAATGGATGGAGGCCCCCAGCTGTGATGCCGATAGCGGTGTTACACTTCATCCGTAACCCACCAATACAAAAGTTTTTAGAGAATGTGATGAAAGCTTAAAAAGAAATTAATTAGTTTCGTCGCAGTCAACGAGGCCGCCTTAAAAGCTGAAGACGCAGTGCATGCGTTCCTGCAAATCCAATGAGGGCTCACTAAATGTTGCAAAATGGGTGGGTGCATGACCCAAAGTCTATTGTGGCCTAATTTCTGTACCTAAGAAAAGAGGCCGTGCTGGTTTTAGGATTGAAGCTCCTTAGGAACCAGCCTTGTGTTCCACGTTGCAATACTCGAAACATGTGTGAGAAACAAGAACAACAACAAAAAAGTTGAACAATAGACTTCAACGTAGGCAGAGGCCAATTAGAAGGTAAGAGATTGATGTTTCCGGCGAAAATAACCTATCAAGAAGAGCCCTGGTGAGTTGATCTCTACTAAAATGTGCCATGATGCTAAGTATATAAAGGCAGCTCTGTGACGTTGAGAACACGAAAAAAAAAACTGGACTACGCAGACGAAGCCCATCTAGCAACTGTATTTAATACCAAGAAAAAGAACAAGAAAAAAGGAGGAGGAGAACAGGTGATATACAAAGGAGAGGGCACTGTAGGCAAACCACGCATGATCCTGCAGGGGTGCTATATATGCAGTAAAGCACGTGCATTTATCAAATTGATTCTTTATGTTTACTCTGATTCGTATCTGTATCAAAGATGACACTAGTGCTCCTAATAAATGTATATATGTATCGCTAAACATGCCACTTGTCTATCTATCTGTGTGTGTGTACTATAAAGGGGAAGTTGATGCATGCGCTAACCTTCCCCAACATGCTCCGCCACGGTGGTCTAGTAGCCAAAGTACTCGCCTGCTGACCCGCAGGTGGCGGGGTTGCATCCCGGCTGCAGCGGCTGCATTTTCTATGGAGGCGGAAATGTTGTAGGCCGGTGTGCTCAGATTTGGGTGCACGTTAAAGAACCCCAGGTGGTCGAAATTTTCGGAGCACTCCACTGCGGCGTCTCTCATAATCATATAGTGGTTTTGGTATGTGAAACCCCACGAATCAATCAAACTTCCCCGGCCTCATACGGTAAGCTTCGATGATAGTTCTTCTGAATTTATTTTTGATGTTCACCAAAATAATGATTTTCCTGAAATTCGAGTTATATTTACAATTAGAGCAGTGTCGAGCGAGATTATTCTCGATTGCAACCCTACTACACAAGTTATTGTGTTCCTGAAGCTTGTTATTTAGGCACTTGCCCAATGTAAGATGACCCGCAGGTGAAAAGAATCCTGTATATTACTTCTAAACCTTCCACTCAACAAATTGTTTTACGTGTCTGACACTACGTGCTTCATCTCGCGCGTCCTCTTCACAACTTTGGGAGTTGACTTTCCTACACAAGCCTACCAGATTTTTGGGCACCAAGAAGGCCACTAGCACATCATACCGGGAAGCCACTTTCGTTAATATATGCGCCAAGGCGTGCATGTACGGCAAAAACTGCCACCCAATTCTTATTAATTTGATTTACCATCCCGGGACTATTAATCTCTTTTAGGCAGCATATACACCTATGCCGACAAGGTTTCACTTGGACAACCACTTTTTTTTTAAGTGCTCTATTTGCAAGCCCTTGCTTTCACTTGTTCTGTGCTGACGTGATTTTTTAACCACCTGCGACATGCACGAAATCACACGAAACATAAAAAAGAGGCCTTATAAAATCAAATACCTTGCAGGCGACTAAAAAATCGTGTAAGCACAAAACAAGTGATAGCATAAGCTTGCAAATAGAGCACTTAAGAAACACTTAAGGTTGGCAGCGACAGGAGTTAGCAACTGGCCTTACTTCGTGTAACATTCCAATTTCTCGCCATTGCATTCATGCATTCGCCCTTGCGACGAAATTGTTACTGTTTTGCTTGTTGATGTTTAGCTACACACTCATGCATGGACGTTCGGAGGGGGGTGGCAATGTGGAGAAGCCACGTTCCCCCTCTTCGAATTTTGAGTAATATTTTTTTATTCAATAGCGATAAGCTAAAAATCTTGATTAGCACACTCAAAGCTCTCATATTTGTGTGAAATGACCTTCGTTACTGCCAGGCAACTCTACATCCACGTTGCACACTGTTGGCTAGTCGTGACACGGAAGTGAAAGAAAGGCTGCCTCTGCTTGATGCCACCCTCTCTCTCTCCCTGCCCGGCAGAATCTTCTGCGGACGCCCTTGCACTCACGATATGTCGTCGTATTCATCGTTTCTGAAGGCGACAGTCACTCCACCTCACATCAACACCCGTCATGCTCGACAACCCGGCGTATCTGCTGTTATTGTTCGTTGGGTTTTATTACTTTTTGCATCCTCGGCTTTTCTTTATAAAAGCCAATATTTTGTCCGTCAATACAAACTTCTATAGTCAAATATTTTTTCAGCATGGCCGGTATGCCTTTAATATTTTTCTTATTATTTAAAAACACTGAAGAAAAGCAATGATTTTGATTAATAAAGTGCACTCTAAAAACTCTGATGTTTTTTTATATCACCATCATAGGAGTATAAATGTGGGGACAAAGTATTATTTTTAAATTTCGTGATGGACCCACCGGGCCATCACAGATTTCATGCTCCATTTTTTGTAGTTTGGTGACTTTGGCTGAACAAAATTTTCTAAAACTTGGTATTTTAGGCCTATGGCTCTCTAAGATGACAATTTATTTCTTTTTTACCGGCTAAGAACTGAGTAGGCCCTTGTAGACCAACATATTTGCACAGCGCAAAACTACGAGCAGTTACGACGTAACTACTCGTAGTCTTGCGCTGTGCAAATATGTTGATTCCCAATCACCGACTAGCCCAAGCATCTGTGTTGTCCCTTTTAGACGCCGTCGAAATCTACGACGTGAAGGCGATTGGGGCAGCAACTTCAAGGGGAAGCTGCCACCTACATTTTCTTTTTGCGCGTTTTATTATCGCTTACCAAGCGCCGTCTTGCGGCAAGCGTGGTGATTTTGGAATTGCGAAAGATAAAGTTACATATACGAGAATAGTCGTTTATCTCTTTAGTCTCCATTGAAATCTGCGGAAATTGCTGCGGCTGTGAGAGACACGTTAGAGTGACGTGAGATTTAAACGTTTTTTTTGTTTGTTCAAAACAATTATACGGCTATATTGCCAGTCACAGCTTGTATGTAGTAGCACGCACCAAATGCTGATTAAGTCGTTCACGCGCGTACCAGCTGCTTGTGTACTGTGCAATTAACTGAAGACGTCTCCATCACAGCAAGCTTCACTGCAATATGAGCCTTTGTAAGAAGAAGCCTTCTTTTGTAACAACTGTCATTTTGATGCAGTCGCACCATGGTGACGTTTGGCCGCGTGCTTGATCTCTGGCGATCTGTATCCTCGTGAAGCTGTAGATGATGATGCAGGTTCATTATTGCCAAAACAACAGCGCCAGAACTAGATGAACGAGTAAAAAGTGGACACACACAGAGCCGATGAAGTCGACGCCAACGTTACTAGAATTTATTCTAGTAACGTTGGTCGGTGCTGTGTGTTCACTTAGTATACCTTTTGCCACACATTCTGTGACCGTGAAAGTCACTTCACTGTGCCACTCTGCAACTATTGGCCACGAGATATAACTGAGTCGGCACCTAGCGGTGAGCGGAAGAAACGTCCTTGTGTGAATCCCTTTTGGTGTCGTCGACTCAAACCGCCTTCAGCGAAGCGCCGCTGCGTACAGTCGTATACACGCCGTCGACCGTCTATTCACGCTAACGTGGCGATGAAGACCGATCTCGCCCCGATTAGGCATAACTTTCAGATGAGAGCTAGCTCTTTACCAGGATGACTGGCAGGGCAGCATAGAACATTGGTGGTGCCCGTAGCAACATAGTTTTGGTGCTTTTTTTTTATACGTCCAAGAAGTTTATCACTGTAATTTCCACAGCCAGTATCACAATAGGCCGTTCTTAAGAACAACAACATAACATAAAAAAGGTTTCAGAACCTCTAGATTTATTAAAGCACGATCCTGCTGGAGCACTGCTGAAATTACAAAAAACTGTGGATGGCGTACTCTCGCATGTTTGTGCACACGTTGACTTGTCACATGGCATTCTTCTGGCTTTTCTCTTCATCAATGCCTAACAGGATGATTAGGCTCCCTGTTTTTCTTGGTTGCTTTTTCCGGATGCCATACACCATATGCTATATGTATAGAAAAAAAACAGCCCATAATTCTTGACTGACGCTGGTAAATGCTTTGTGCGTTGATATAATGGACATGTCACGCTTTATGAGGTGTACCAGAATTTGTATTTGGTTTCCCTTTTCTTAGACTCCATGATTGCGGACGGAGAGACGGAAAGCTACGATTTCGCCTACATTGACGCTGACAAAGAAGGATACGATGATTACTATGAGCGTTGTCTGAAGCTAGTCAAGCAGAACGGGATCATCGCCTTCGATAACGTGAGTGTCCGTCTTGTATGCTGGTTGAAACCTATACAATAAGGAATCTGTGTGCTGTAAAATTTCGAGCAAGCATCCCGTATCCCTTCCTATAATTACAAACTATAGGACAAGGTTTAGAGGAGGGGGGATTTTCACGGTCGGGGACCTAAATTCAAGATGGAGGCGGAAGAGCCTCTAGAAAGAATGTACAGCTGTTCTAAAAAATGCATTAACTAACATGCATGAACTCAGCGTTTTTACTGAACTAGAGGGAGTCACCATGTGCAATTTCATTTGTAATGACAACGGGGGAAAATGTTTTTTCGACAATTTGTGACACACAACTCAGAATTAAACTACAAGGCACCACATTGTTAAAGTGCTCAGAAACCGGGCATGTATCTCAAGACATCAGAACACGTCAAAAAAAAAAAAAGGTGGAACGGAGGAAAGAAGGGGGAGGGGGAGTGATCACTCGGGTAATGACGCTTATTCGTGATTTTATGGCATGTCTTCCAGAAAGCACGCATGATTATCTCTTATGCCCGACTTCGGTTTTATTGGACGCTCAATGCACTGATTTCTGCCTTTTAGTTTGCTCTCCATGAATAGTTACAGAGACCCATCTTTCTATATTTGCGAAAGAAAGGAAGAACAATCATATTACACAGGTGGTAAACTAAGCTGCCTCAGTTTGAGCATGTATATTAGCAAAACGCCCCTGTGGTTTTGCGCAACGAATAGAGTTCGCCCTCGAATAAAACCAGCGTCTTCGTCTAAGGCACGTCATTGATGGGCATACTTTAAACAATAGATAGCTAATTCTCACAAGGCTTTTTCTTTGATCAGCTTCTCTTATTGATTTTTCTATTTCGTTTTTTTTCGTGGGTTTTTTTTCTTCTTTGTTTTATATGCGAAGCATGATGTCTATGCAGGTCCTACGTGGTGGCTCAGTGTTCGACGCTCAAAGCTCCCACTCTGAAGCGTTGGCGATGCGATCTCTCAACGCCAAACTGAAGAACGATAAGCGCGTGCAACTCGCCATGCTACCCTTCGGTGACGGCGTCAACATCGTCCTCAAGAAATAAAAGAGTAGAGCGAAAAAAAATTCTGATCGACAACATCACGGTGTTTGCCACGTATAACAAACGCCACGTAGGGGCACGTCGTTCGTAACGTCAGTGGTGCTTTCTTTTGTCGAATAAAACCTCTTTCGAGATTCGCCTCTTCAACTGCTTCAACTACGCTGGCAACGTGCCAACGGTGGCCTCCTGATCTTCGCGGCATATTGCCCCGCGGGAACCTCAGGTCTATCATTCTGTGATGGGCCAAAGTGCGGCCACTACTCTTGCTCCTCAGGCGGACACCAGGCAGATGGAAGCACGCCCCTGCATGATATTCTTCCTTATCTTTCGAAATAATTTCATTCAATAAAGCACGCGTGATTTTTTAAAAGTAAATACACAGTTCTTAGTTTATGGGGTTAAACGTCTCATATACACTCAGGCTATAGGGTACTTCACAATGAAGGTCTTCGGATAATTTCAACCCCTGGGGATTCTTTAAGGCGCACTGACATCGGGCAGTGCACCAGCGCCTCTACCACGTCACCTCCATCGAAATGTGACCAGCAGGGATCGAACCCGCATCTTTCGGGTCAGTAGCCGAGCCCTAATTACGACAGCATGCATGCCTATGTTTTGATGAAAACTTTTCTATAGAAACTGGTCGTTATGATTCTTGGCCAACTGCCTGTTTCTCCGAAATGCCCGATGTAGTGCGGCCTTGGGACGATGCATGACAAGAGTCTTGATGTGTCGTCGCTCCTTCAGTGTTCTTTCGATGACCCTCCGAGCGAAAATGTACTATTCGCGACAACTACAGGTTTTCCCGTTCACTTTAATCCAAGTGCCAGCCTAAATAATCTGCACGCCATTGAAATAATCTGAACGCCAAGCTATTTAATCCATGTGCCAAACATTTAATCTAAGCGCCAACATATTTAATCCAAGCGCCAACTCACTCAGGCCGCGTGCCATTGAGTTTAATCCAAGTGCCACCGTGTTTAATCCAATTGCCAATGACTTTAATTCAGGTGCCAGTCAGTTTAATCCACGCACGAAAACCAGATTACGGGGCGTAAAAACAGCAGTGCAATTGAAATGCAGTTCTTGCAGTATAAAATACAATAGTCGGAAGGTAGAATCAATTATTATTATTTGTATTCGCCGATAGTATCCTTTAAAAAAAGTTACTGCCATGGTTCGCTTAAGCCATGTTTGGAGTGCTTATACTTTGCTATGCGCAAGTTTGTATAATGAGTGCTTGGCCCAGGAGAAATAAATTTAATGAAAACGAAAAAAACGCAGGAACATATTACTAAATATTTCACAGTGCAATGAAATTCAGTATCCGTCACTGAAGCTCATAATAGGCTTTGGTACACACTACAACATTACATGACCAGGACAGGCCATGTAATGTGAACGACACACTATGTTTATTGGAGTGCCGGAACGCATACTAAGAGATTAAAAACATGGTCGCGGGCAGTGATGAGTCAAAGATAGCTACATAATCAAGAAATTAGGAAGCCGTCGCGCGGCACGCACTGTCAATTAGAGATAATTCCAATGTTTTTTTTTCCTGTAGTGAACATAAAACGTAAACTGATCATCCTGATGTGGCAATAAAAGTTTTATTTTACATTATTGTATGCTCATATTTTTTATTCAAACAAAATTAAATGTCTCCGATGATATGAACAGTTCTGATTGTTCGTTTAGCTTATTAGTTTTGTGACGTACTTGACGAATGCGATGAAACGAACACAGAGGAAACAAGATGATAATAGCACGCAACTGGCCTTGGGCCTAGCTTTCTTTTTTTGTGTGTACGTGTTTTTTGCGCGGCATTATGCCTCTCATCGCACATTGGAAGCTTGCGGATTCAGTGCAATCACTAAATTATTTGTTCTGTCCCCCCTCTCTATTCTATCTCTACACACACACACACACACACACACCACACACACACACACACACACACACACACACACACACACACACACACACACACACACACATATATATATATATATATTATATATATATATGTGTATATATATATATATGTGTGTGTGTGTGTGTGTGTGTGTGTGCACATATATACATATACAGGAAAACAAGAGTGATTACTACTAATTATTCATGAAATGCAACATAGGCACAGGTTAGTGTATTTATTAAAACAGAACTGTCTCATAGGGCTCGGAGACGGATGTTCACAAGTCATCTTCACGCAAAGCGGCAGGCACGAAAGAGAAATTGTGCCGATCAAAGGCCGCGCAGTCCACGCGCTGTATTTGTTGCATGGAGTGGCGAGCCGCATCCAGCAGCAAAGAACACCTGTGCTCCTTTTTCGTCATGCCTGGCGGTGTCACTAAAACTAAATTACGACGTTCGCTCAGGTAGGCCTTCACGTGTGACTTGAATTTCGAGAAGGCTTCTTCTATAAGGTTAAAGAAGGGACTGTACGCTGGCAGGCGCTTAATAGAGTGCATGGAGTTAGCCAAAGCCGCCTGTTCTGCTTGAGCGTGAGCAGGTGCATTGTCAAAAAGGAATACAGCTTCGGCATTTGGCTCATCACGTTCTACGCGGGCCGAAACATCACTGAGGAAGTCATTAAAAACAACCCAATGAACTTTGTCCACCACAGTCCAGTGAATAACTCAATTTGCGGACATGCATGCTATAATGTTCAAGTTCACTCCCTTTGTCGTTATGGTCATGTGCACAGCTGGTTGTCCTTTAGCTGCCCTGCCGAAGTTCCTGGAACACCAGATATTGAAGTTAGTCTCATCCAAATAGAAGCGGCAAACACGCGATCCATCAGACTGCAGCCATTACGCGCACAGCATGCGGCTGTGCTTGATATCGTCACGGTTGCGATCTGTGGGCCTCTGGGTCACTAGCTTCATCGAGTAGCAGTGGGCATCCAGCAAGTGGTCGACTGTGCTTGCACTGATTGTTACTCCTGGCATTTCTTTCTCCAGGGCCTCCTTTATTTGCTTCAATGTAAATGTACAGTTTCCGTCGACAATTCGTCTCAAAGTACGCATGACGTCATCTCCAAACTTCCTTTTTGAACCCCCACCATGCTTTGATGTTTCTCTGTCGGTAGCGGCAATCGATCTTGCTGTTTTAATGTTGATGCCTATAGAGCGTCGGCCAGTTGCTTTAAGTCACCGCCACGCCTGTAAACGTCCACAATTCTAGCCCTATCGACCACCGATACTCTGCTCTTTTTTCGACGATGTTCGTCGGGGTTCTTAAAGTGTGGTCCTCGTTTGCGTCCAGCCATGACTTCAAGCAAAGCTCTCTTTTCGTCTGGAAATGTTCCCGTATGAAAACACACGTTTCAAGTAAACACGCTTCAGCTACACTAAGCGTCGTCTGCTACATGAAAACCGGAGTATCTACTTTGATGCTTTTATAACAACTTATTTCCACATGAACCCGTATAAATGCAAGTTTGGTATTTTTAGTGGTTATTTCTAATTTCAAGAACGAATGAATATCATCTGTCGGTCACTGTTCTCCCTGGGCTGAGCAGACGACTGCGGTAGCCTCAGCGCATAAGTAGCCAAATGCCGTCTGCTCAGCAGACGACACGAATCTATGCATATATATGCGATGGTGTAGATGGTTAACCGGAATGAAGCAGTAGCAATGCAATAAAGACTAACATGGACTCTATGAGCAAATACATTCAAGTACCCATAAATGCAATTACTACTGACTGTTTTTTTTATTTGGAAGCTATGACACCAAAATGTTAAGGGGAAGTCGCACTGAGCACTTCATTTCATAAGCGCTACCATGTATAGCCGAGGGAAAAGTTCTTGCTGTGACGCGTTTACGTTATTCTGACATTTATACTATATATAGTGGCTAACTGTGTGTTTCTAACGCATGGATTAAACTGACTGGCACCTGAATTAAAGTCATTGGCAATTGGATTAAACACGGTGGCACTTGGATTAAACTCAATGGCGCGCGGCCCGAGTGAGTTGGCGCTTGGACTAAATATGTTGGCGCTTAGATTAAATGTTTGACACATGGATTAAATAGCTCGGTGCTCAGATTATTTCAATGGCGTGCAGATTATTTAGTCTGGCACTTGGATTAAAGTGAGCGTGAAAACCTGTAGTTAGCGGGCAGAATGTATGCACATTTGCTTTGGGTGCGCTTGTACTAATTGAGAACTCGGACTCTTTAGCACACTTTATGGCTGTCACAATACATGAGTCTTAATGCGCTTTTTCAGCATAACCTTCCACCACAGGAGCACCGTCAGAAAACCAAAACCACGATCATAGAGGCTATTAAATGAAATAACATTGCGCACGCACGCACACAAGAAACACAAAGGGATAACTTCATCTACGAAGATCATTACGACACTGTGAACAACGCCTTGGAATCTTAGGGCTGGGACCACATTCACAATAATTGATTATGCTAGAATTGTTAGTTCGAAAAATTTTCAGCCAATCACGACTTTGGGCATTATCATTTAGCGCATTTAGCTGGTCAATCAACAAGTAAATGTTCTGCAGCAGCCAATGCCATACGTATAATGCTAATGCGCTGTGTATTTAATTCGATATTATTTCTTAAAAAAGGTATTCAGCACGTACCGCCAGCCAAAGCGTGATTCTATACTTCGACGGGCATACATGGTTATTATATAGTGCAATTATAACCATGTATACCACTTTTTGCAGGACATCATTATCAAAATCAAATGGCCAAGGGCAAATGGCACATGAAAAAAAATTGCGCATTTGTTCTGAGAAGCTTTTGGTGTTTTTCACTGGGAGATTCAGAGCGACCGCCGAAATCCCGGAGCGAGCACTCGGATCGCACGAAGCCACCTCTGCCAGTGAAACACGAGAATGCTCCGTGAGAGGTGCCCCGGAAGTTGATTATGCATACGTCACGCAAACCGGTTCCGGAAACAGTTTATTTTTCCGCTCTCTTCGTTTCCTTGGCAACTTTGGCCGCCACTGCAGGGCGCGCATTTCGACCACGCAGTTAAAGCTTTGTAGAACACTTTAACGCAGTCGCGAACAGCAGTTGTGTAGCAAGTATGGACGAGCACGCGGAATTGACACCGGCTGTGCGTCGGCTGTTGCTGGGCGTTTTCAGAAACAGCGGCAACGATCTGAACGGTAAGTGCGACGTACTTGACGCTGATAATAAACTCTGCACGGAATGCTAACTTTGATAGCTCCGCATGAAGACTGGTCAGATAATTGTAAAGCATGCGGGTACACGTGGTAACGGCCGCAATCGGCGCTCGCAAAAATACGGCATGTTGTGAGCAGGCTTTTTTTTTTAATCAGAGCAGTTGCTTACCCAACACCTTACAGTCCTACTATTTAGAATATCACAAGCGCCGGAATTTTCGCAGCGCTCACCAAGCTGCTGTATTACCTTTAATAAAAATGCATGGCGATCTCTGTATTCGCGCATGAATACATGCATGAAAAATTTACTAGAGAAGTAACGTTTTCTTGGCGATTCTTGACCTCTACTCTTTTGGTGTTAACCCGCAAATGTCTTTTCTTTTTCTCTATTTGAAGGTGCTACACAGTGTGACGCCACCGACGCTTTGTCACATACACAGGGCGCATTTTTAGGAAATGGTAAATTGGTCTACATGTGTCTCTGTAGAACTAGTTTTGTATACAGTCGTCTATATATGTAGAGGACAATGCTTTGACGAGCAACGTGTAAGGACTACTTGAAGAAAATTGTGTACCTGCTTAAAATTAACACATATTAACATACTACAATGCTTTTCAATTATCAAACACAGATTCTGCAGCGTCTACTGGTGCGTCACCAAGTCGGGCTTGTCAGCCAGGGACTCCTGCACGTGGTAAGCATGCATACACAAACATGCTAGTGGCATTAGGATGAAGATAGGTCCAGCAGATTGCAAACCCTCTCAAAAAAACCACGAATTACGCAAAACCATTTAATGGCTTCTTGCTCACGCTTCTCAATATTGGGTGCTTAAATAATAAAATTGAATTCAACGAATAGTCAGCTGCACGAAGAGGCCCCATATTTATTATGCAGTGTTTCAAATTTACTCTCTAAGAAAATTATGCTGTGAATAAGTTATGTATAGTAATATTATGAATTTGCATGATTGTCTGTTCTGATATGCAAGCGATCCCCACAGCACCCAATATTTGCTGTGCCAAAACAGTGTGACAGTACTAATGCTTTACAGTAAGTGTTCTATGGCTCAGAGAGCATATAGCTTCGTGCCCTGTATCAAAAAGTCTATTAATGCCAGTTTATATGTATTTTATGTGTGTATAATGCATATTTCAGCTGCAGGGGTGTGAGTGGACGAGTGGCGAGACGAAGCTGCTGCTGGACCTCTACGCCTCATATTTCCCTCAAGTTGGCCTCTGAAAAAAATTTCGCAACAAAAAGGCCATGTTTGAAAAAATTGCAACAGACATTAATAATAAACTGGGTGTAATGAGAAACTGGTGAGCAGTGCTGCTCTCGGTACAAAACCGTACTGAAAAGAAAAATGTGGCAGCTGGGAAAAATAATACGTCTGGCTGTTCCCCACAAGAAGTCCCCTACGAGGCCGAGCTTGAAAAAATCAAGTGGCTGGACGACAGCTTGGAACCAGAAGTGGTACGCGACGCAAGTGGAGTGGTATCAAAAAAGACATGTCCACAGTCATCCACCGAGTCTGTTCCACTTGCTGGTTCAAGCTCGTCAACGTCACACTCTCCATCCAGCTCCGTTGGGCAGGACGACACTCCTGATTCAAAAAGAAAACGCCCGAATTCAGCACGCGAGCTCCACCTGCAAACCTTCTTTGAAAAAATGAAGGAGTTAGATGAACGGCGAGCAGAGCGAAAGGCTGAAAGAGACAGCAAGAGGGAAGAGCGACGACTTGCTAAAACACAGCGACGAGAAGAAATGCACAAAGAAAAGATGAATCTTCTCCGTGAAATTTTCAACTTGAAGAAAATGAATAAAATTGTGAAAAGCATGTTTATTGTAAGCATTGTACACATGTGCACGTTGGCAGGCGCATTGATAACAGATTGACAATGTTTGTTGTTGAGGTGAAATAAGGGTTCCAGGGCCCTTTTACAAGACAAAGTTGCAATGATCATTATAATTTCACGCCGTTTTGATGGTAAGAAAAGCTGAACAAAGACTAAGAAATGCAGAACGTTTGTCCATGCAAATTTTCATCAGGCAAATGAAATGTTAATGCACAAGCAATAACCAAATTGCATGACAAAGAAGCCATTTCTCACAGCAGCAGTCACCATGCCTAAAGGACCCCTGACAAATTTTTGTTTTGACTTGAATGCTTTAATTAAGAGCATTGTGTCCGGTAGTCCCCAAACTTTGATCATAAATATTGCAATGTACTGTGTAATTAATGCAAGAATGGCTCCTTGTGACTAATTTTGGCATCACTGTAAAACTACTACTGGAATCACAAAAAATTACACAGCGAACAATCTCAGGAGTCATAAGACTATGTAGACTCGGGCTTTTGTGACGTTCAGAAGCGCACTTTTGAATTTGGGCACCATGCGTGGGAAACAATGAGTCGGGATGGGTGTTCATTACGAATATTCCTCGAAGCGACAGGTTTAACTGACAAGCATAGTGCCCCACTGCAAGACAAACAACACAAACATTTCAAGCTCGTAATTTTGGTGACATTGTTCCATTAACACAAATGCTCCTCAGTGTAGCCTGCACTAGCTTGGACTTATGCCAATGTCACTACATGTTTCTCAGAATGTTTGTGGTGGCTGACGAGAGCTGGAGCCCAGCTATGTTTGGCCGGTTGACTTTGTCACTTTCTCGTGTCTCACCAGCACGAAGAGTGCAGTTACTATCAATATCACCAGCTATCTTCAGCTGCAGTAGCCATACCGACCAACACGCTGCGGCGTAGCACTAGTCAGCAATAAGCATGCTGATGGCTTCGCATAGGAAACAATTACACTGATCCAGTCAGATTCCTGCAAACATCTTGGGTTGACTCACGCTATGTGGAAGCTGCTACGTGTCACAAAGCTAAGAAACAAAAAAATCAGGCTGCGCCCTAGCAAGATGAGTCACTACAACACAGTGCGGCATGCATTTTAGCTGGTTAGTACAGTGTTTCCTGTAGAAAACAGTGCTAAAGGATGGGACAAAGCAGGGACACAACCATGGCAGAGACACAACCATGGCACTGACTAACAGCCAAATGTGTCTTATTCTTCCAGTCTAGGTATATACACTCCACCACTAATCTGAAGGGTGAGAAAAAGCAAAAAAAAGACACACACAAATGTTGGCTGACTCAGGAGGAAAGAAATGCTCAATAAGACAGGAGAGGTAACTCCTTCAGAGAGAGGGAAATATAAGGGAAACTGATGCATGTTTCGCCGCCGTTGTAAATGATACGCTTCAGAAATGAGGGGCATGCATTTATCATGATTCTATTTTTTTTTGTTTCCTTGAGATTGTGGTAAAGTATATATACGCGGATTAGAAGAATAAAACGAATTTGCTTGTTAGTCAGCGCCGTAGTTTGTGTCCTTGCTTCGTCCCGTCTTTTAGTGTTATTTTCTGCTAGAAATCTCTACAACACGAAACAAAATTTACAACACCTTAACGTTTCTTGTTTTGTGTACACGTAGGCAGTCCTAACTTTAAATCAAATGCGCATCGCTTGCATTAAGCGCTCACGCTTCTCCTCGCCTTGGCGACGCAGTGCATCTTCAGTTGATGCAAGCGGGCCATTGTTGGGGGGAACATCATCCGGTTGTGCCTCCCATTCCCACGGTGCATGTTCATCATCGATGTACGGCGGCACATCCACATCACCACAATTAATGCACATATTGTGCAAAACACAACAAGCTATAATGAACTTGTTCATTTTGTCTACAAACAGAAAGTCCAGGTGCAGCAGCTGGCGGAACCTGGCCTTGAGGTCTCCAAAGGCATTCTCAATCTTCACTCTCGTGCCGAAAAGTGATAATTGAAGGCGCGCTGCCTCGCGTCAAGTGACCATAATTCCTGAATGGGTTATGAGGTAATCTCGAAGCGGGTAGGCAGCGTCCCCGAGAACGTGGTACTTCCCGGAAACAGCACACATGCGGCAACTTTGAAGAAAGCCTCGATGTCCTGAAGATTCTCGAATCGTGAATCTTGCTGGTGTGTCCAGTAGTCACATCGAGAAACTTCTTTTTGTGATCACACAGAGCTTGCAGTGTCAGTGACGGATAACTGTGCCTGTTCACATAGGTTTGAACGCACTTTTTTTTGCAGGGCAGCGGATGCTTATGTAGGATCCGTCAATGCAACCGATCGTGTTGGGCACTCCTGACACCTGTGACAGTGAGAGAAAAAGAACACACCTGTAGTGAACTTCTTGAAGTAAATAATCTTAACACTTGATGCAGTAGTTTTGTTGGTCTTAGCGGAGTTAACTTTAGGTGACACAAGTCTTTTACATGCCAGAACTATGGAATCATTGTACGGAACACCACAGCAAAAGGCATTAGAAATTTTAAGTGCCAGGGGTCCCTTTCAGGGTGTCTACCAATTTCATATTTCTAAATTCCTTGAATTTCCCAGGTTTTCCATCATGATTCAAAGCAAATTCCATGACTGCCACGTTTGCATGGAAAACACTGTACACTGCAAACAAACCCGAGTAGAAAAAAAAAAACCGGGGCCGCTCTATAAAGGTAAACATAATTACCAGACGCACTCAAAATGTTCTCAGGGCATGCGACAATTGTGAAAAAACATGTAAATCTGGCCAAAATAAAACCCCTGAGCTAGGCAGTGAGCAAGTCAGCTGTTTGATGTTCCGAAGAACCAGGAAGAAAACACACAAGTTAAGAGTAACCGCAGATGAAGTTTGAAGGTGTCTGCGATCGTTTGACATCGCAGTCAAAGCTGCTGAGAAACTTAGAAGTGGTGCCATTTGGTGGCATTCGTGTAAAATGAAACACAGGAGCCTGGCCGGTTCTGCCACTGGAGTAAAATCTATTTTACTATAATGGCTGTAGCCCACGCCGGTTAGGATGTGGATTGGATTTAATTAGATCGACCTGAACTACTGTATTTACTGACTCACCTATTTATATGTAGATTAGATTAGAACTGATTCGACCTAGATTGATGTATTTACTATTGATTGCGCCGCCGCCTAATTTGCACACCTCTAAAGTATACTTTTCAACAAAAAAAGTAAATAACTACTACTCGCATATTCTATGTATCTTGCCTTGACAACGAGTAACGACAACGTTGCAAGAACATAGCCATACTGCAAAATGTTTTTTTTTTTTTACGACAAGCACATGCATTTATCTGGGCTGTCATACTTGAAGTGAAATGAAAGCTGGGGTCAACGTTTAAAGTGCTGACATTTGAATATGTGGTGGTGAGAATGAATTTGTCAAGGTGGAACAGTTTCCTTGATTCTATAGATGAATCATGAATGTCCGCATGTTACCTTGATTTACATACTCTGCTGTAGACGTGACACTGAAAAATAATTGCAGATTTATTTACACAATCTCACAAAACTGAAATGAAAAATTTAGCTGAAGTTACCCAAGTTCTACCCTTGAAACACGAGCTACCAGCATAAGTGTGTAGCTGAAGACGTTTGGTGTTGCACCACCAATAATAATAATAATAATAATAATAATAATAATAATAATAATAATAATAATAATCATAATAATAATAATAATAATTATTATTATTATTATTATTATTATTATTATTATTAAAAGACATGAGTAGCCCAGCAAGCTTCAGCTGATAGCAGTTCTAGCCTAGAAAAACCAGACGGCCTTCAAGCCGGGCCGAAATCGTGGCATAGACAAAACATGCATAAATCTACAGACGTGAGTCAGATATGCCGTGTGATATGTAGAAGCAACAGGCACCAAAAGAGTGGATATACCAACATGGATGTTAAAGAATGCTTTAGCCAATGTGAAGGACAAGTTGCCGAGCAGAAATTTCCTTAGTCTAGTTTATGCCATAGGCTGACATAATTGTGACCAGTACATCGGTGAAACTGGTAAAAGTTAAACAACACAAATATGATACCACAAAACGAGGCGTGGCCTCGACTGCCCTCCCTGAACACACGGAATCACAGACCACCAAATAGACTTGTAAAACTCTCGAATCCAGATACAGACAACTGTACATACGCTGCACAGGAGTGATGGGAGGCTTCTGACAATGTACTCTCTCTGCTTACGTCACGTATTTAGGCGTACTGAAGTACACTGTGCCTTTTTCATGACTTTTAAACAAGGCTCTCTCCCATATGAGGTACTGAAATGTCAGTAAACTTTGTGTTCTATGGGTCCCTTTCGCGTTTACACTCAGAAGCAAGAGTTATGCACTGTCCTTTTTTTTTTTTCACACACCTTCCAGCAGCCCACTGTAGTTGCAGCTGAGAGACTTTTTAAGCTTTGATGAATGGCGATGCTTATTTTTGTGACGGTCCCACAGAACTGCTGTCAGTTTTCATGACCTGGCCTGGTTTTTTTTGAAATTCCCTGACTTTTCCACGTTGGCAGACACCCTGCTTTATGTGCACTGTAAATGAACAATACATGTTTCACTAGCATTTCTCATTTGATAGTGAGACTGCTTGACAATAACCCCATCTTTCAAGCGCAACTTAGTACCACATCCCCTGTGCCCCAACGGCAGCTTAACCTGCTACAATCAATGTATTATGTGACTATTCTCTAAAGTAAGCTTCAATTAGACAACTCATTTGTTGTGTTTGCCATGGAACAGTGAAATACCTAAAATTCTTACTTGTTCGAAGTCCGCTGACAGCTGATCAAGATCTCCTGGAAATGATATTACCTCTTCGGCTATATCAAGGAAATATTCGAGCGTGCGCTCCACGACTCTAAATGCTGTCGCAGTTGCCATGCCAAAGCGTCCAGCAACGTCCCTCAGGCACGCCTTGTTTGCAGCAAACCTGACACAGCAAACACACATTATGGAAGAAAGTGATCAAGTAAAGCCTGCTTTGTGAAATAAAGGCATGAAATATTTGCATCAAAATTAGCAGCCGTAAGAAAAGTAGAAGCTCTTAACACTGTTCTCTCTGGCTGTGCAGTTGCAAGCGGTCATATTTCATTGGTTTCCATTGCATCACACTTAGCAACTTTCAAGGACAAAAAGCACAAGCGGCGTAGCCGCGGGAAGGCTACTAGGGAGATTTAACGCCGCCGAAATTGTTAAATTTCACATGTGTATATTCTCTACACACGCGCACATAAACACAACGAACAAAAATTTATAATGGTTGGACTCCCCGTCAAAATTCTGCGCACGCAACGAAAAAACGTACTTCTACGCCGAAGCACTTGAAAGCATTAAGATTATACACACTGGTAGGCATGACTTTTAAAACAGCGTGCAGACTTACCACAGAAAGACCAGAATGTGCTCTTCCGCGGTTTTCGAGGGGGACCCACCACGATCACTGCATGGGTAGTGACGCGAGCCTTCAAAACCACGGATCAACGTTTCCGCGACACGCCTCGACACCCTGAAGTCTTGACGGAACTGCAGAGAAGGAAATGATAAAAAGATGAAATTAGGTTCATGTAGTATTATGAAAAGAGGGAGCTCCGCGCTTACCTGCTCGTCTGTGTACAGCCGCGCAACGTTCTCGATGAACCCCAAAATTTTGGGACGTTCGCGGTGGGACTCCGAAAAAGTTTCCCGAAAGAAGGCTTCGCATAGCGCTTGTCTTTCCTCGAAGTCTTCGTCGTCTGAGCTGGACGAGCTGCTGCTTGAAGTGCTTTCGTCGCTAGACAGAAGTTCCGCCAAGGCAGCGAACGCAGCCATTTTGCAAAACTCAGCAACGTACAACGACGGAAGTGACGTATGCTGCTCGTCGTGTTTCCGCCCGAATCTGCGACTTGTCGGCGGAGCAGTGCGAGCAATCCGCCTCGGAGCGAGCTGCTCTGAAACTACCAGTGAAAAGCGCGGATCCACTCTGAATCTACCAGTGAAATGCGGTTTCGTCGCCACGGAGCAAAAAAACCTGCTCCGAATCTACCAGTGAAAAACAGCATCAGTGATTTGTTACCGATACTCCACCCTTAATGTGTTGAGTATCGGTAACCTAAACCTGAGTACTAGGCTCAGGTGTTCTTAGGAGAGACAATATTTGTATGTGTCAATGATCACAGGACTGCTGGATGACGACCATGCAACGCCTGGCGAGCAGTAATAAAGTTGCGAATGTTTACTGTTCATGCTTAATAACATTATTCAGTACAGCACAAGCGTAAATGAAAACACAACTTGGAATGTTCGTCGAAAGCGCAAGTGTATGAATATTCAGCGTATCACGAAAATTAACGGTTTTACCTCCGTCACGTCAAAAATTATTGTTTCTGCCTTCCCAGCGTTAAAGAGAACGACAGAAAGTTTACCTCACATCATGTGGCTGCCTCACGCAATAGCACATGATGAAGGTTATATATATATATATATATATATATATATATATATATATATATATATATATATATATATATATATATATATATATATATATATATATATATATATATATATATATATATATAGATATACAGGCACAGAGTGGGCATAAAGGCGACGACGACAAGAAACAAAGGAAGAGATGTACACCCACAGAGAGCCGGAGGCGAAAATGTAGGCCCGTGTGCTCAGATTTGGGTGCACATTAAAGAAGCCCAGGTGGTCGAAATTTCTGGATTTCACTACGGCCTGTCTTATGTTGATTTTGGGACGTTAACACCCCCCCCCCCCCCACCATCAATTAAATCCCACACAAAGAGCGTGGTGTGTCATACATACTAAGATCACTTCGAAATAAACGTTGTTGGAAGTGGCGCTCCTCTGTGTGTGAGCACTCTGTCCGTTTTCATCGTCATGCCTTACACTTCAACTACGCAAGAAAGAACTATGCAGATGCGAGGGTTGGTTGGGCCTTCCAACAGTAGCACTGTGACCGGCAATGTGCTTAATTCCTTGCGAACCTGTCTGTCCATAGTTCATACGTCCACAATCATTTCGGAGGTGATCACCGCATCTGATGGGAGCGACACGTTTCGCGGACAACTTGCACGCGTCTGGTTCCTTGCGAGGATTGTCGTCCATTGGATAAGCCAGAGGGCACATGGGAGGGCTTTGCTTGCAGAGCGTCTTCAACGAAGCCCGCTGGAGTGGCACTTGGAGGCAGCAGTCATATCCTGCAGCGGTAGACGATGACAAGAGTGTCGTTGCGGAGGAAACCGGTGCGCTCATTGTGCAGCTCGGATAGCGGCGCCATGGTGTGAAAGCCAATGGGCACGTTGCACTCGTTGACAGGCCGCCCCATAAGATGCTTGCTCTTGGAGGGGATGCTGCGGAACGACTGCTGCCGGTCCAGGTGCAGGCCGCGACCCGACTGATCCACCACGCGAAGCACGTGCTGCGGCAGAGATGCACCCGTGAAACGCATCGCTTCCACAGGCTGCATGCTCACTCAGCTGATCTGCAGTGTCTGTCACTATACACGTTAACAACTGAGGCTGGCTTAACTCGGGGATGGTGTGGCGCTTACAGCTCCAACTCTGGCGCTCGCAAGTTCACATTATTTATCACTGTGTAGTGGTGCAGGAGCAAGGCAATCACCAGTGGGACTATCTCTTCCAGTGGACACCATCCCTTTCAACTGCTGTGACAAAACTGAATTTCTAGATTTTCGTTTCGCTCATTAGCCCGTTACGTTTTTGAGATCAGTGGCCGCATTCCCAAAGCGTTATTCTTAAGTCACCTTTTTCATTGGCCAGCTGGCTTTGCTGATTATTGCTCTCTTATTAAAACTGGCTAAACATTTTCCCCGAATAACACTCAGGTAAGTCGCGTTTGTGAAGGCGAATGCAGAACTGTTAGGCGCCGTTATTCGCGAAGTTATCGTGCTCAAACTGCTCTTCGCAGCCCATGACAGCCAATCGTGATATTGAACATAGTTTTCGACGCCAACAGTTACAAAGAAGTACATTTATTAATTAAACCCAAAGAGAGCGTGTGGCCTACTGTTAAAGGATTGCATGACAACGCCTGCATGTGAGCTGGAAGTGAACACTCAATCACTGGCACTCAACACCCTCCTTCCGTCGATGGGTGAGGGTATCGATATGTCGAGTTCATGCGATGTTACCTACTAATTGTAACTTTTGCTTGAATATGTGCACCATAGAGAGTATATTTAGAAAAGTAATCACCGAGCCATGAAACGCACCGTCACATGACGTTTATTCTATCCCTCAAGTAAAGCATGCAATAGCTGTTGTTTAAGCGCTCGAAAGACAACAAAGGAAGACAGGACAAGCGCAGAACTATTTGCATCTCAACCAAATTGCCTCAAGTAAACATTGCATAGATCAGAAGCGACCATAGCGAGCATTCTCACCTCGTACTTGCATGGCCAGTCGAGCACGCAGTCAAATTTTCCTTGCATTACCTGCAAGAGAGCAATAAAACATGTTAAAAAATGGACCTGGATTAGGACAAAGAAAAGTTAGAAGTAGCTCTTAGTGGTAGTGTTTTTTTCATTTGATATGCTATATCACTTAAACAGGCGAATATATGTCCAATTCTTGATCCCTTTTGAAGAGAGCTGAAAATGGACAAAACCCATGGACGAAAAATAACCCACATGTACACACACAGGCTCTCGCTGAAGTCCCCCTCCCACTCCTGAGTTCATCACAAAAATTGTGGCACTAATGTTATTCCCAACATCTAGTGTGGTTCTCATCAGCAGTAATAATAATAATAATAATAATAATAATAATAATAATAATAATAATAATAATAATAATAATAATAATAATAATAATAATAATAATAATAATAATAATAATAATAATAATAACAAACTGGGCTATACAGTTTAAGTTTGGCAGTGTTATTGCCCACTCCAGTTTCCTGGTCAACCCCACAAAGTGAAATAACTACGTGCAGCTTTATGGCGTTTTCGTCTTCAACCGGGCACAGCTGCATTACCACTACGAGTGACGTCGACTACTTCCTTTTCGATATATATATACAGCTGATCAGCTTGAGGTTTAGTCGTGCATGACTGAACATTCGCGAAGTCCACATGGTGCGACCGAGTCTTATGTCGCCGAGGCTTTCCCACTTTAATAACCGTTGGGAATTGCGATGGTGCATGTTGTAAACCACCAGTATTGGAGATATTCTGGCGCCTACTGCAGCGAAATCCGCGTCTGGTACTGGAACTGAAGTTAATTTTTGTCCGATGATTAAAACATGACTTTGAAAAAAGCTGCAGAAGATTGACCGTCTATTGGTTATTTTACAATGGGACCCAAAATGGCTGAGGTCTGATGTTCGGTTTATAATTTATTGCATATAGTTAAATGATATACAAGTAAAGCACAGACGAGGACCCCATTACATACACTGTTAACATATGCTTCCTAATCGAATGGAAAGCGTCTTTCAGTGTTTCGACACCGGTGAATAATCGATAATTGAATAGCAACTGTATCTGTTCTTTCCTGTCAACGTTCTCTGAACGCAATCATGACCACCCCATCACTTCTTTATTTGTGTTGAGAATAAAAAGAATGTCTTTGGCATAAATCGGCAACCTCACTCTTGATTTTACTCACCAGACTCACTCAGTCTCAAATCTAACCGTCAGTCTGGGACTGAATATGCTCGGGTGAGTAATATTCTGGGGAGTGTGTGTCCCAGTGAGTACCGTTGAGGAAATTCTTGGTACGCCTGAGTCCGAGTGGATCCGTTTGAGAAATATACTGCTGAGCCTGAGTCCAAGTAAGCCATAAGTACAAAATATATATCTTGGGTGAATTTCAATGAGCGTCCCCTTTTATTGCCAACATATATCGACCAACATATATCTATATGACATTTAATTTACTTACCCATCAGTATTACTGTCAGCCTTATATCGGCTGAGGTTTATATACTCTAATCTATTCACGCATGCATCAACGCACTATTGATCAGAGGCGTAAGTTAGGGAGGCAGGGTGCCATGACCCCCCCCCCCCCTCCCGACGTCCTTGACAGAAATATCTCATGTGAGCCGCTCATTTTATAAAAATGTCAATACTGGATTGCAACCACTCATAACTCCCATATGAAAAGTACAAGATCAACAGGTGAATCGTACAGCACGGATTTTGTGAGATATTGCCGTTTAAGAGCATGTACATCATAATCGAATAACCTAAATTTTCGCCAGCGGACTCACAAGTCAACTCACTCAGGCTCACCTAGACTCATGTCAAGTCGCCAGTCTGGGTGCGCATGGCTAAACAGCATGTTGGTGAGCTTGAGACTAAGTCAGTTTGGTTGACAAAAAGTTGAGTTATTCTGAGTCCGAGTGAATATGGTGGAGAAATGTAATGAGAAAAAAAAACGTTTATTAAAAGAAAAAGAAAGAAAAAAATCACAGGATATTCACGGAGTGAATGATAATAAGTGGACGCGCACGTCCATTCATGCTTATGTCCGTCCATGCGTCCATCCATGCGTCCGCTCGTGCGTCCATGCGTGTGTCTGTCTGTGCATCAGTCCATCCGTCCATATGTCTGTCCATGCGTGCGTCCGTTCGTCCATCTGTCCGTGTGTCCGATCGCGTTCGAGAACGCAGACGGCACGCGGGTAACACCGACGAGACGCGAGCCAAGGAAGCCGAGTGCAAGCTTATTCAACGCGCCCGCTGCTCTGCTTCCTCCATGCCCCACCAACGACCCGACATGTACGGTGGCGATCCAGAAACTGAGAGGAACTCGTCTCCCGCGGACTCAGGCAAAGCGCGCGCAGCAGCCAATCGAAGAGTAGCGGCCGAATAACGCCTTTTGGCGGTTACACGTGACTGGAGATACTACCGGCTACGCGTGACAAGGTTAGACTAAGTGGGGCTTCGCCCCTAAAAAAGGAAGAAGGTTTAGAAGCAGGTGGGCTCTGGATGACTAGTGGCCCCAATACAGCTGAAGAAATTTTCTGTGAATTCGAGTCCGAGAGAGCTCTCAGAGCAAAAAAATTGCCCGCAGCTTTCCTCGGGGGAACACTGAGGAGGATGCGGACCATATAATTGGTTAACGGGGTGTTAAAGTGCGACTTACTTGGGTCGATGGCTAAATTGGTTAACGTGGTTGTGAAATGGGGTGTTAAATTGCGACTTACTTGGGTCGATGGCTAAATTGGTTAACGTGGTTGTAGGAGGGGGTGTTAAATGAGTGAACACGTACACACGTATGCGAAAGGGCGGCGCTGGTCGAAGGGACGTCGATCATTGTGTTTGTGGATTCGTTGGAATTCATTTCACCGCGACCTTGGACGTCGACGCGCCGTACAAACCAACCGACGAGCGGCAATTGAGCGAGCGAGCGCCGACCTTGAGTATATATACAGCACGACGGCGCATGCACTGTCAGCTGTTGAATGTTCTCGAAGCGCGACGCCACATGCGCGTCCACTGGAGAATCAAGAGAATTGTAGATGTCGAACGCGGTGTGTAGAGGAGGAAGGGTGCACAGATGGTGGAGGAGTGAAGCGCGCGCGGTGTGTAGAGGAGGAAGGGATGCACAGATGGTGGAAGAGTGGGCGACGGCGCGACGGCGCATGCGCGCGCGTCAGCTGTCGAATGTTCGAGAAGCGGTGCGGACGGCGCGGACGGCGCGGACGGCGCACTACAAGGCGCGAGTATAAGATGCTCCGCATCTAAAAATATTTTTTGAGTGAGTCTGAGTGAGTTCTAACATTTCTGCTGACCTGTGGTCTTTCGCAAATACTTTTGACGGTCATCATTCCGCTAGAACATCTACTTCGACTTCAGGGACCAGTACGTAAGCAAATGGAAGACGCTCAGTGGTACGTGCCTGCAGGAAGAGAGACAGGTGGCTTCCGCGGCCTTCGCCGTAGCCGTTCAGGTCGGCCATCAGGCGCAGCTTGTAGCCAGGGGCGGCCGTGTAGAAGGGCGCGCTGACAACGCGCGCAATCTCGCCGTTTTCCTGCTGCCTCCGCAAGACGCTGAAGGGCTTGATGTACCACACGAACTTGCCTTGCGACCAGGACCGCGACAGCATCTCCTCCAGCCTAACGTCTATGCTTTCCTGCCAGAGGAAAGACGCCATGCACTGTAACTTTAGTCTTGCGTGGTTTGGGGAACCTCAAGGCACAAAGCCTCTCGTGATATTCACTAGAGAGAACTGTGGAGCAGCGATAGTTTGGCCAACATGGTAATCGTAACTATAGTACATGGATTCGCTTGCCATAAAATACCGAAAAAGCGCCCCTGTCCAAGCGAGTGCTTCGTTCCCGCTTTCAGGAGATTTGAAGCATGCACCAATGACCTAGCAAGCACCTCCCTTTCTCCCGTAATTCTTTTTTTTCATCTTGGTTTATATATATATATATATATATATATATATATATATATATATATATATATATATATATATATATATATATATGCACTAATTTTTGTACTTGTACTTGGGGACACTAACCCTAACAATTATTATTATTTCGTTGTACATTTACAATGTGGTTCCTCGGGGATCAATTCTGAGTTGTCACAAATGGTTGGAACACTTAGAAAATGTTTTACCCCTTGTCTTGACACATGAAATTTCACACCGAAATTCTCTCCGGTTCATTAAAGACAACCGATGCATGTGTATCCAATAAAGCATTTCTTTACATGTACAAGGGTGCATACTTAAAGACTCTTCACCACTATATCGAATTTTAGTCTACGACTAAACAAGCGCTCCCCTATCTCCTCCTTTCTATATAAATTCTGATTATCTTTTACCGCTGGGAGGGGGGCGGGTACTTGCTTGGGATGTTATGTTGGTCTACGTGCTTGTGGCTTAGAACGAACGTGTGGGTTACGTGCACTTTTGTATTGGGTTTTTGTTTCAGATAAAAGAATGGCTCTTGAACCTCGTGAGCTGATTTTAACAGGTCAGCCTGAAAATCGAAGTGGTGAAGCGGGACTACTGAACATTAATTCAAATTAGTTTTGCGATAAGGAGGCTGCAGGACAGTGGGAAACAACATGGAGACGAAAGAACGAAGATTGAGCAAATCCATGCACTATCCATCATTCCCATGCTGGCTGAAAAGCATTTCCCTCTAGTGTAAATTAAATGCGAAGATTTTATAGCAAACCGTGAGTACTTCTTTGAATCTATCTATCTATCTATCTTCTATCTATCTATCTATCTATCTATCTATCTATCTATCTATCTATCTATCTATCTATCTATCTATCTATCTATCTATCTATCTATCTACGTCCGGGTGCTCTCATGAACGTTTCCACAGCTCGATAAATACCAAAATTGACATAAGTGCACGGCGAAAACAATAAATAACGTGATTGCCCGTCACGTTATACGTTTTGAAACCCTTTCGATCAGTCACATGTGACACATATCCGCATAATACGGCCTGTGGTATACGGGTATGCGCCATGGGTGATGTCGGTGTCGACGGCGTTGTCAGTGAACGAAAAATGCCGATGGAAGCGTTGGGATGAAAATTCCGATTCGAGATGGTATCAAAACCAGGCATTCTGCGTGGCAGTCAAATATTCTACCACAGTGCCAAGCAACTGCTTCTAATAAATTTGGAAAAGGTAGCTTATGCATGGGTCATGTCGGGTCAACAGTGGTTGTACTGTTCGCCATCCATTTGTCTACCAATGTAATAACATCATTGATTCCCCAAGCTATAGTAATACTTTGCTCAAAGACGTTGTACAGCGCTACTTATGATACGCACATCACCATGCAATAACGGGCGCTTAGCTGCGACAAAAACTGATATCGCTGTAACGCGAGCGCCGACGTTACGTCAGACCACTTACACGACAGTGTAGTCGATATGGCTAAATGGGAGCCTACGATATGCGCTCAGCTACCAAGTTTACCCAAAGACGTCGATCCGCCTGTAGCACTTGACTCGAAGAAGAAAGTCCGGCATATAGGCTGCCACTCGCTGAGTGCTTTGCGTGAAATCGATTCGCACAAAGTGTTGGATCTGCCGGAACTTCAATGAAACAATACAATGAGGTGGCCGCCGACTGCACTCATTCAAAACAGCCTTCGTAATAACGGTTGTAAAGTTTATGTTGCAGGAATGAGTTTTTTCTACGTACAGTATAGTGTACACTTGGGTATTTTCGACTCCGCAAGCACAAAACCCCTGCGTGCGCGCGTGTGTGCGTGCATGCGTGCGTGTGTGTGTGCGTGTGTGTGTGCGTGTGTGCGTGTGTGCGAGTGTGTGTGTATGTGTGTGTGCGTGCTACAACTGTGCGTAAAAACAGATGATAGCTGATAGTACAGTTCGACTTATTAACGACGGCGGGCAGCCGACATTTACTGGAACTGGGCGATCAATGTCCTATTTTTGTACGTTGATGTTCAGCCTTTTGAGACCGACTCGCAGTTCCTTGATTGCCGTTCCCGTGAATGACTTTTACAGTCAGCATGAGAGTGCTGCTTCTGTAATCTTTATGCCTTAGATTCGAAAGAAAAAGAGATCTAGGCAAATTTAAATGTGCATTCTTGAATATAAATAGAACAGTGGTACCTAGATTTTTCTTTTCGCAATTTAGAATGTTCTCATACACCTGTAGCACTGAACGTTGCACTTAAAGAAACGGGTTATGAGACCAACTGTGATGAAACTAATGAGGGCATTTGGTTTTCACATATAGCACTATCTGTTGGGATAAGCATGCGGCCTAGCATTAGCAGAACAACGAAAAGGGAATTGACTACGAGTATTGTAGACGTGCGAGAGCTTGAACACTTACCGTGCTCCGGCGGCACTCTAGCTGCCCTTCGTGAACTCGAGAAGCGAGCAGGCGGACTTGTTCTTGGAGAAGGTGTTGCTCTCTGAGCATATTCGTCATCTGCTCCTTTATGGCATTCAAGCTAGTCTGCAATTCCAGGTTTTGTTGCGTGCTTTCGGTAAGCGCTTGCCGGAGTGTGTCCATGGCGCCATTGGCTTTCTGAAAAGCCGTGTAAACATAAGATTCATTGTGAAATGAGAAGCTTACAAATTAAATGAGCATAGACAGGATACCTCAGTGTAGGTGAGAATGAAATTCATATGACTCTCCAAGGTTTCGTGGTTCTCGAGGTCATCCTGCGTGCCCTGCACAATGAAAGGTGAGTGGCCTGAATTCACTGTTCACAGCGCAAGTTTTAATGCGATAAATCATGCTTAATAAAACGACCGGCTACTCGTTGTAACTGTTTCCAATTTTTTCCGCGTAAATAAACTTGAGAAAATTTGTTGGGTAAATATCGCCATTTCAGGGAAGGCGTGGAAACACGGATACAAGAGTAAAGGTGAAGACAACACAAGCGCCGACTATCAGATGGAAAGGCGCAATGTGACGGAAACAAAGTACACACAAAACTAGGAACATGCGCGGTCTAACGGGCACGCTGACCTTCTTTGCACGAGTGACAGCGTTGAAAGGTGCGCTTGTTTCATCGAATAACCATCCTCTCTCATGGCGCTTTCGGCATCTCGGTTCGAAAAACGTGTTTCGACTGATGACACGCTCGTGTTATTAAATACGAAGGATTGCTTAGCGCACTGCAGGTATACATTGAGCGCATTTATCTGTGAATCTATAGCCACCTACATCTTGGCGCTCTCGTGATCAACTTTATGGCTCGTGAGCTCGTCCTTAACTCGGGGTAGTACCAAGTTAGCATCGGAGGGTGAAAAGATTTGACGAATATGACTGGCTGGAGATTACATGAATAACGTGGAAATGCCGTTGCGTGCGCCGTCAAAGCCTTTCCTCAAGATAGATGCAGCACATACCTGTTTACCACGAGCCGTGGTATGCGGGTGTGTGCCACAGGTGATTGACTTGGTTTGCATCTATCCAAGAATGGTGAGAGGTAACTTAAATGCAAGAGCGTTAAGAAAAACTTACATAGACAGCGCTGACCCGAGGAATGCAAAGAATAAATTTCGTGGTCCCAAGAGAAATCGAACCCGAGAATATTGCGCTGCAATCAAGTATTCTACCACTGAGCCATGCCAGATCTCTGAACTTATTTGTAAAAAGAACCAATGCAAGCGTAACCTTCGCGTTTGATGTGAACTTGCAGCTCCCCTACGCATGCTTTGCCTAACATTCATTCTTACCGTATGATGGATCTGGCGATTTTTAATCCAAATTAATTATTTATATAACTTAATCGATGTCCGGCCCACGCATGAAAGCACATGTGAAAGCGAGCCTTTTGTCGACAAACAAACAAACAAACAAACAAACAAACAAACAAACAAACAAACAAACAAACAAACAAACAAACAAACAAACAAACAAACAAACAAACAAACAAACAAACAAACAAACAAACAAACAAAACAAAACAGACAAACAAACAAGCAAACGACCCTTGAGCTTGTAACTCTTACCTCGTACGTGCAGCCCAGCACAGATAGTCTGCATGTTCTCTTTCCCGGCGAACAATGTGACCGGTGTATGACCTGAACAGAAGGCTACAGCCGAAAGAAATTGAACATGAAAAAAGCAACAATGGTGAATTGTATTGCAATGGCTAACAGAGTAGTGGGTCATGTTATACATCCTTTGAAAAAAAAAAAACTGGTAATGTCATCGGTTTTATTGCGACTAATAAAGAAAAGTAATAAAATGCTTTGTAGGGCACGTTGGTTCATTCTGGAATAGATTTGAGCGCCGACGGACAGCACACGAGGGTCGTGTGTCGCATTGTGTATGCACTGCTAAGGGGAAATCTCGTAGCGCGTGGCCTCGCGATACGGCCATGGATGCGGCCAGCGCAGCACTCGCGCGCCACCAGCCGCTCGCGTGTGCACAGACGTTTGAGGGACATGGCGTTGAACGGTTGGACCACGTCGTCGACACGGCGGCGCGCGCTGGCCGCATTGTGAGGCAGCGGTCGAATTTCATCGCTGCTGCGGGAACTGGGCCGATATTTTTCATCGTGTCACAGTACGCCTCATTACCGTCCAAAATGAGCGCCGTATTCGCTGCCGCTGGTGACATGACGGGGTATTAAGTGAAGTTAGAAGCTTCACGCGTGCATTTTGGCGCCTGCGAGTGAGTGCTGCCTCAAGTAATGAAATGCTATTGAGATGAAGCATGCACGTCTAAGTAATTATCTTAACCTACAGATTTCTTCAACTCGTTCTCACTTGTTTTATTGTGTTGAACCCGCATAGCCGAAGCACTGTCGAGTGCTTCTTTGTTTAGCGTGAAATAAATACCACGCAAGCTGCGTGCTCATTATGGTATTCCCGTGGAGGAATATTGCAAGACGAGCTAGTTGGTGTGGCGTGCATCGTAACCTACATTTAACGCACACTGACCCACGGGCAGAGAGAGGGAACGACACCAGCGCTTACTATCAACTGAAGGTTTTATTCAAAAAAGAATATATATATATATATATATATATATATATATATATATATATATATATATATATGTATTGTAGGCATTCATTAAGCACATCTACTTTCTTTACACATATTCATCATCATGAGTGGTCGTCATCTTCATCTGCTGTGGGGACTTGGCTTGTCTGAGTTCTGTGCCTTGGGCGTGGTCGCTTCATCGTGTCTTCTGGGCCTAATAAAGGTTGCCTTCACCGTTACATCACAAGTGGTGGAGTGTGCTCTACGATCTTCCGTCCTCTCCCAGCCCGATCTGCCTCCTGGAGCTGCGCTCAGGTCGTCGTTTGTACCAGGTCTCCGGTAACATGCCTCAGGACGAGCCAACCGGCGCTTCTGCGTCTACCTCCACGGCCCCGGCTACCACGGCCTATCCAACGTGGATTATCACCGCGCACCAGCGTGAGCCGCCCACGTTCGCCGGACTTCGAGGTGAAGATGTGGAAGATTGGTTGGACCAGTTCAATCGAGCGAGTTCCACTAACAACTGGGATGATCCTACCAAGCTTCGCCGTGTTTCTTTCTACCTCACAGGCGTAGCGAAAACATGGTTTTTCAATCATGAAACCGACATTACGGACTGGACACGCTTCAAGCAACAGCTTCGCCAAATTTTCGGCACCCCGGCGGTTCGTTCTGCTCTCGCGAAGAAGACACTGGATTCTCGCAAGCAACAATGCGGTGAGTCATACACGTCGTACATAGAGGATGTGCTTGCTCTCTGTCACCGTTTCAGCACGTCCATGACAGAATCAGAGAGAGTTCGTCATCTATTGAAAGGGATAGGCACGGTCGCGTTCAGTGCCTTGGTCATTCAAAACCCGACTACAGTCGCTGACGTTGTTGCCACGTGCCAACGCCTAGAGGAACTTGAATCCCAACGGTTACCGCCGGACAGCTCTGAAAACACTACCACGACTGATGCCTCATTGCGTGCCATGATCCGGGCGATTATACGGGAAGAGCTGCAATCTTTCGGCCTCTCAATGACACCGAGTCCACCTCCCCCCTCCAACACTGTTTTGCGGGATGTTATCAAAGAGGAGTTGGCGTCCATGACCGGGCCAGCGTTTGTAGAGTCTCCAGTACCTCGACTCCAGCCGACGTACGCACAAGTCCTCGCTGGCTCACCACCCGTGGTACAACCGATGCCCGCACACTCAACGCCTGTCCCGCTGGCTTCGTTAACTCCGAGTGTGACTAGTGTCGTGATCCCACCGCTGATCACCGGTTGTTGTGATCCCGGGGTGCTGTGGTAGCGTGGTGTAGCTTCGGGTTGAGGAAACGACCGCTTACAAGATGGGGATACGAAAAACAAACAAGGTTTATGGCACTATTTACAAATATTTACAGCATGAGGTTAAGAGTTCACAAACCACGAGCGTGGTGGTTAAACCTTTTCTTGGTTCAGAGCCTTCACAAACTACGAACGTGGTGGTTGAACCTTTACTTGGTTCAGAGCCTTCACAAACTACGAACGTGGTGGTTGAACCTTTACTTGGTTCAGAGCGACGTCCTGCACTCTGCGGCGCCGTTATAAGCCCTGTCGGGCTCCTCCTTCTTCAGTGGAACACCAATCACACACACACACACAACAGGTGAGGGGTACGAGCATGCACGGCGCACGTGAACATCCAATTTCGAGTCAAGATCACTGCACTTAAAGGTGGCGCCAGAGAGGATCTTGCTCGTCGTGTATGTCGCTGGTCGAGGGGTTCCAAGCTTCGGACAGCAGACATCAAACGGTCCGCCAATCTGTCCGCTCAATTAGCAGGGCACTTTGTGGCGGCGGTCGCCGTTTCTTCAAAGGAATACGCTGTCTTTGTTGTCCCCTCTGGAACGGCTTACCGCTTCGTGGCGACACGACGTCTCATCCGCCGGCTAGCCGGGACAATACCTGGCGGGCATAAGCATTCGGCGAGTCGGCTACTTGTTTGAGGGTTAAAAGAGCGCCGCTTCCCCGTCAGCTCTCGACGTTGGTTCCAAGAAAACCTGGGTTCCACGCGTGGGAACGCGGCCCGGCTACGCTTCTCAGCGACAGCATGGCGCCTACCGATGGCGGTCATAACAGCTTCCGCCTCGCCAGATCAGTCACGGAGGGCAGCGGTCAACACTGCTGCTCGCAGGGACGACGAAAGGGTCCGTAGTTGAATGCCAGAAACTGGCCTTCCCTTGTGGCATGGTCCGGGTAATTGCCGAATCTTCGACACTGTTTCTGAAACTCGACCACATGCACAAGCAAGTACTCGGCCCCCTTCGAACAACCAAGCCAAAAGAGGGATGGGAAACCAATTTTCATTTCCTAGCTTTAACAAAAGCTCACCCTCAAAACTCTCAGGACTCACTTGAGCTGAAAAACCAGACGTGCTACCTTACAAATTTACATAAGATGCACGAAAAAAACTAAAATATCAATTTTGATACAGAAAGAGCACCCCAGAATGGCTTAGAAAGAGCGGCTAAGCGTGTCAACGTTTCCATTCATTTGCCCTTCTTTTACCTAATGCCAAAATTGTATTTTCGAAGAATCAAGCTCTGCCTCACAAGGCGACTATTCTTTTATGTCACGGTTTGCAGCCAAGTAAGGGGAAAATGGTCTGTCCCTACTTTAAATTCAGCACCTCTGAGATAACCTGCAACTGAAGAATGGCCTACACAAGGCAAGCGCATTCATTTCCTGAAGCGCAGTACGTTATCTCACGAGAGCCCAAATTCTGGTGCAAGCAAAGAGCAGCTTTGCTTGATACCATTGTCGTCCTGATATAAAACAGCAGGCTCTTTTTCATCCGTTGACTACTTTTATCGGTTCTGTCCCGCTGAGAGCATCAGTCAGGAACTCGGATTCAGTGAGCGCTACTTTTGTCCGAACGTCCGTCTTTGTTTACGGCCGCCCATAATTGTCTACCACTGAGACATAAAGCTCACCAGCCTCCCGAAAGCATAACCTAAGCCTTGACCTAACGGGCTACCTCAACGGTTCAGGAAAAGCTTAAATGATCCGCTCATATGATCAATCATTTTTCAAAGAAGACAACAACAAAAGGCAACAAACACTGCCTTCTAGCAGGTTAGTTCGGTTAGTTACCTGCCTTTGCTAACACCTTTGATTAAAAAACAAAACACTGAGTTCTTTTCAGCGCTTTCAATTATTATCATTCTTACAGCGTTGCAAATTACATGGTACTATTAACCAAACGCATAATCCCTCACAGTTTGTCTTAATGTTCATTCGAACGTTAAGTTGTAACACACCGTGTGCAACAAAAGTAATCCTAGGTGCAATACTCCTTAAAGCACCGCCCAACAATTGCATAGGTTTTATGCTAAAACAGTACACCAAGATTTTCAATGCGCGCAACGGCATTTCTACCGTGTCGCGCCAAACTTAATCATTTTCCGAAATCACTTGGTCCATGTTAACATCTCCCTCAAATGCTCATTCACTCCAAATCCACATGACAGTGAAGGCATACGATATAACACTAAACCTTTTAATAAAAACGAGAAAAATGACCCATTTTCTCTGTTTTTACCTTACGCAAATTTTCGCACTAGTGATTAAAGCACTTCTAGTTCGGCGGTTTTCTTTCTGCAAACTTTACACCGCATCACGTAACTTACCAAATTTAAACTAGTTGAAATCTGCATCTCCAATGCAATACTGAGTAGTCATAATTAATCCGCCTGTGCAAAAGTTACTCATATTGAACGTGAACCCTCTTCTCATGGTGCTTTTAATCGCACACGATGGGGTCGTGGTCCCGGCTGTTTTCCAGCACGCCAGAGGCTACAAAACACACGAACGTTAGGCGGTGTCCTGCCGTCACGCCTCATTCTGCACTTCGGCTGTCTCCACTCAGGAATGTGCAAGGGACGCCAGAAACAGGGTTGAGACCGGGGACATTGTCTCTTTGTGCTCGCCCCGACGCGGTTTTTACCCACTCTGCGCTTTCGACTTTGATGCTTCAGGCAAGGCCGCTTTCCCGAAGTTGTCGAACGCAACCGCGCTTTTCGTTGGGGTAACGCACCTCGTTTCCCCCCTCTACACCTGGCTTGCCGCTTGT